TCGGCAGGCGTTTACGAGCGGCGTGCGGCCGGCCGCCGTCCGGCTCGCGCCGCGACGACGGGCGCCGGCCATTTGCATCGGTCGGGCCGGCGCGGCGTGCGCCGAATGCGTCCGCGCGCCGACCGATCGGGATCAGGGACAGCCGTGCGATTGCGCGCCACTGATCGTCCAGGTCACTGCGCAGCACCTGACAGCCCCCCCGCTCCTCCCTCCCCACCACCACCACCACCACGCCCCCGGGGGTGGTGCGGCGGGGCGTGGCAGCTAGTGGGTGGGCCCTAACTGGACGGGAGGTCGGAGGGCGGACGACGGCCATTTGCGCGGCGAGGAAATGTTGTGCGCCGTTTTTGTCAACATTGATTTACGAGTGGCAGCAGCGCCATGAGTGCAATTCAAGGCTGCCATCGAAGCCCTCACGAAGCCTTGAGAACCCAGCACGCGCTCGTCTTTGTTCATACTTTACCTTGATTTCAGGAAGGACACTAACTCCTTCGAATCACTTCACCGTATTGATTATGTGCTCATACCATGGTGTAAACCAAACTTCCAAGAGGGCAAGCGCCTCCGTATTCCGTTGGAAAGCAACTATTCTCCAGGTGATCAAATACAGCAGCCAAATGACCAGTGTGTGGTGACTTCTCGTTCATTCGTGCCTCAATTGGCACGTTGTCTTATTTCAGCGCAGGGCGACGCCGTGCGCTGTAACCTCCACGCACTGGCCGTGCCTAGCGGTCACAGGAGCCTGCGCGGCACACGGCCCTTCCAGCGGGGTCCCGCCACGCCAAACAACATCACCCCGCTCAGCAGAACTCTGCTGTAGATCAGGAGGCGACGCCGGCGAATCCTCCGCCGCGGCGAAAGGCGGCGCGTTGCGAAAACGCGGCGGGCGCAGCGGCGACCCCGGCTCCCCGGCTTTGCGAGCCCGCTGCACGCGGCGCTTGCCACAGCGCCGGCAGCGAGCGTAGGTACGAAACACGGGTCAGGCGGCTTCCGCTCGTGCGCAACGGCCGAGCGCGGAATGCAGAAGTGGAAGCCGTGCGGGGATCATCATCGCTTATCACCGCTGGGACACGGTCGCGCCACGCTCCCACATGCAGCGGGCGGAGGCGGCGTGTAGCGCCCCGGCTCCCTCAGACAGCTCGCCACGTGAAGCAACACCCGCCGACTTCCGCCCGTGCACAGCTGGGAGCACTGGGGAGGCAGCTGCTGCAGCCGCTCGCAGGGGATAGGGATCAGAGCGGAGCCATTAAAAGCGCTCGCCGGCGGTGTCTGCCCCCAATGCCTTGGCCGCGACTGACGACGACGCCGACCTGCGGCGCTCCTGTGAGCTGATGAAGCTCACGCCGCGTCCAGCTCGTGGGCAGCCGGGGTGGCGGCAACGGGGGGCCGGCTGCCACACCGCCGCCTCGGTCCTTTACACAACACCACCGCCGCCGGGCGACAATAGCCGGTGACGAGCGGTCACGACCGGCGGCCGGCCGCTCGGTGGCCCCTCTCTCGCGCCGCCCGGCCGGCCTACGTTCGGGGAAGCGGCCGCCGGTGCCCCGGCGCCGCCGACCGGCAGCTCGTGTACCCGGCCGCGCGAGCCGACTCGGTGATGTCAGCCCGGCAGCCGTCGATAGGACAGATTTCATTGGAACGGCCTCTTGTGGCGGGCGATGACGAGCTCACTGCCGAGGGTAAGAGGTATGCAACAAAAGCAAAGGGAGTAACCGGTGAACAACCTCGCTGTCGCGCTTGCGGGCGTCTCGTGCTCAAGCAGTGGTGGCCACGGCTTCCGAGGCGTCAGAGGGGCGATCGGGCTGGCGGTGCGGTACGATGCTGCCTAGCCCCGGCTCACAACATCACCAAGAACCCCTCTTGGCGATTGCAAAACACGCCGCGACCCTCGCGACCGTCAGGACACCGACAGCCGGCACCCCCGCAGCACTACGCGGCGGAGGAGACTTCACAGTACACAGAGCGTCAAACGGACGGGCCCGTCGGCTGCACAGCACGCGGCTGGAGCGCGAAGAATCCAGCGCCCATCCGATATGAAGGGGCATTTCGCCACATTCAATCCGCCCGGTAACGAACAATGTGGCGGCGCGCTCGATCGTCGACGCTAAGTAAGCTCCCGGCTCGTCTTATCTCCGTTCGGCGGGCCCCACCGCCGGCCGAGACGGACGCCCGGCTTAACGATCTCTCCGTCCGGCCGTAAATCAGGACGGCCGAGAGCCGACCGAGCCGCGGGTCGGGCGTGCGGCGACCGACGCTGACCGAGCACGGCGGCGCCGGTCACACCGCGCGCCGCCCAAGCCAGCGTCGGCCCCCCTCCGACTCACCGTAAAAAGCTGCCGACAGGTTTGGAGCAGGGGCGGCCCGGCCTATCGCGGTCAGTAATTTACGGACGGCGTACACGGCGGTCGGCAGCTGGGCCACGTCCGTGACGTCAACGGGAAGAAAACCGCATGGAGCCTGTCGAATGGCGGATACGGAAGCGAGTCCTCGGTCGCGTCGAACGCTAGCCATCGCCCCATCTACACAGTCTGGTCCCGCCGGGTCCGTCTGACACGAAGGTGTTGTGGATGATGCATGCATGACACGACACGAGCGCGCCGCGGCAGCTCGTGTCAGTTGTGTCAGGGCATCAGCAACGTGTTACACAGCACGACCAGTGTGCTGCATACTGCGAAGCCGGAACCCAAATTGAAATGAAAATGCATGCCTTGAATGTCGGCAGTGATTCAAAACGATGCCAAACAAAACCGGTTTTAGATGTAAGGTCGCGGCGTTAGCTAGAATTTGATAAGTTGTGATTTACGATCCTCGTTGGATTTCAGCAAACGAAGACGGGTGTTTCGTCGCACTGCCACCGTGTCCTGACTGTCCTCGGTAAAATGCATTCCGTTCGGCTCATTTCCATACGTAAAAAGCACAGAAACAAGATGATAATGGCGCTCTTCAGGCTTGTGCGATTGTTTTTATCGTTCCGATAATTGCAAAAATGCTTCAGCGAAAAATGCAGCGACAGGTCATTACCAGAACGAAATGTGCAGCACCAGATCATCAAGCAGAGGCAAACAATGGCGAAAGCTGTCCTGATAGCGTGTGGCAACTCGCTGGCAGCACATGTAGCCACAGGCGGCACTCAAAGGCTGCTCAAACAGTGCCTGGACACGGTCTGGACAGACCAGCCGCCACGATCCGGTGGACAGCAAGTTGAGAGACACCGGGTGAAGACGGCTGAGATCATACGAAATCCGATGGGAATGAGAAGAGGAAAAAAACACCGACGAAAAATCGGCGTCAGCGGCATGCCCGATCCGAGGCCGCGCGGCCGAAGCCGGGCCGGGCCGAGCCATGCGGCGCGCCTGACCGCGTGTCACGGCGGTCTCGGCGGACACGTTGCGACACCGCGCGGCATGCGCCAGCAGGGCCCGGGCACCCCAGCAGGTTTTACTTGTCGGCGTGGCGTATCCAAGCGATTATCAAGGGATCGGCGGCATTCGGGCACGGCGAGCCTCCGCTCTATGCAAGGCTGCCGGCCCGGCTCTTGCCGGAGAATACCCGAAACGTCCTTCACCAGGCGATAAATACCCTTATCAAGCATATGCCCCCGTCGCACACCCGATCTCACGCATATTTTGAATGAAAAGTGAGTCATGGCAGCAAGGAGCGATTTGTTTATTCGGAGTGATATGAACACGTAGAATCGCATTAGGCCGCTGTGACTACTGGTTGCCTTCATGGGAAACTCGACCCATGCGGCCCACACCAATGCCCGCGCGAGGGCACGCCGCAGGCTGGCAAAGCGGCAGCTCAGCCCCACCGTACCGCACGAACGCTGCCACCTCCGGCTTGTGGCTCCCACCATTACGACCTCCAACGGATCGATGACAAGTGCAGGAAGCCCAGCACCGCGGGGCGGACCAGCGGTGGGGACAGGCCCAGCAGCGTTCTGCCCATGCTGCCAAGGCCGGCGCCGTCACGGTGTCTGCGCGAGCCGCGCCCACCGATCGGCTTCGGGTGAGACACCGGCGGGCCGGGAGGGACGTCAGTCCGCCGCCGACCTCGACCAATCAAAACTCCGCCGCCGTGTGTTCGTGATACATTTCGCTACCAAGGAAAGCAAGCGTGAAAATGGCGCGAACCACGTGACGTGAAAACACGCGACGTCTGCTCTTGTCACCAACAGGCAAAGCGCCTCACCTTGCCTTCAGCCACAGCGGCCAACATAAATACTCAGAAACAACATCTTTGCAGATCTGCTTAGTTCTGCCCTGCATCATTCAAAACCGAACTGAGCCAATCGCAGCAGGAAGCTTGACAGCTCTACGGATTGCCAAATCTAGCCCATACAGACGATGTTAGACTAGCCAGGCGTTTGCAAAACCGCACAGGACTCAGCGCCACGACGCGCTGCAGACACGGCGCGCGCTAGCCGGCTTCCACATTTGGCAAATACTCCACGCCCGTCAAAAATCGAACCACTTCAACTGTACGGGGGCCCCACCACCGTATTCGCCACAATGACCTCGCTAAGTGCACTTGACTGTGGCACCGCCCGGCTCGAAGCCATCCTCGGATCGTCCAACAATCGACACCATCTATCGTGGTGCATCAATACCGCAGCTTACTCGGACCTAAGGTGCCAGCCTGCCCGTGCCGGCGAGCGCGTTGTCCGTTTTGCACGAGCAGGACGGTGGCGCCACCGCCGCGCCGCGAATGTCGAGTCGCGAGCCATGCCGAACCGGCGCGCGAGGGTACGACGGAAGTCATTACTGCCTCACTTGATCGGCATTCTACGCACAAATGGGAGCCGGACCCGAGCGAGCGACATGCGAGCCCCCCCCCCCCCCCCCCCTCCCTCCCCGCTACCGCACTTCATAACCGACAGATGTTGAAGGCCCGCGCCTCGCAGACACAGAGGGCCCCGATCAGTTGACCAGAGCCCGCTCACCGCGGTCCTGGACCACGCTTACGATTGTTCAGTTGGGATCGGCCCACGGCCCACTGACCTGTGTTGATGGTCTGCTCCTCGTGGTTCTGGACGGGCGGCGTGTCGTGCAGCAGCAGGTACACCTCGATGGCGCACTGAGCCGCCTTGAAGTAGAACGGGTGCCGCCGCAACACGTCCTCCAGCCTGCCGGCCGGCCGGCGGCGTCACCGCGGCGCACGGCGCGCGCGCGCGCGAGGAGGGCAGCCTTGCGCGCCCGCCAGTCACTCCCACGCACGCGTCGGCGGCGCGTGCAGGGAGGGAAGCGGCTACTTAGGACACGGGGCACCGGTCCGTCCATCGCGTCATTCACCCGGATGTGACCCAGTCGTGTCAGGTGGCGAGTCCACGCACCAGCTTGGAACAACGCCGTCCAGGTCCACGTCCACATCTACGCCGTCCACACTTACGACGTCCGTGTCTACGTCGTCCACGTCCACGTCCAAGTCCACGTCCACGTCCACGGCCGGCCAGCAGCGCTCACACGGCGGTCACCCACCTGAGCAGACCCACGTACGACCGGATGGTCATGCGCCGTAGGCAGTACGTGTTGAAGTCGAACTGGTCCTCGATGATGTCCGAGAAATGCTGTCGGCAGCGCGGGAGCCTACGTCACAGGCGGTGGCGGGCCAGGTCACCGGGCCGCGTGCGCCCGGCGGGAGTCGACATCGTGCCCACGCGCCAGGCCCGGCGCCGCCAGACGCCGTAAGCTCGGCGTGCGACGCGGCCGCCAGGACCGTGGCAGCGACAACGTGTGTGCCAGCATGTACGGCCAACACAGCCACATCGGTTACGTCAACTGGGTCCTTGCACGAGTGTTTGTTGGTGAGTTGGAGCCCCGACGCGCCTCAAAGTTTTGGCTACTTTTTCGATACCTAGCTCATACGGAGCACTAGCGGCGATAAAAAGCCGGCGCCACGAAAAACCGGTCACGGCAGCCGACCGCCCGGTGCGCTAATGCCGTGCGGCGACCGCGTGGGCCGGCGGCCGGCCCGCAGAGGGCGCCCGCGGCGGCGTCACTCACCCGGTCCACCTCATGGCACTTTTTGAGCGCGTCGCCCCAGCGGCCGAGGCGCTGGTAGGCGCGCGCCATCTCCGTCAGGTACCACATGCACTGCATATTGTTCAGGTCCTCGGTCGCCTGAACGCCCTCCTGCCGGCGAAAGGCGGCGCGTGACAAACGTGACGGAGCCGAGCGCGGGGGGGGGGGGGGCAAGTGGGCGAACACGTGATTGCAGCGTCCATGATCGGCGCCTTCACCACGGGGACACCCGCAGAGGGGCGCACAGTTGTGCCGAAGCGTTCGACACACGCTCGATACACATCACCACGTTCATTTGGCATCCTAACAGCAAGCTGAGCAGGCTCATTGTCGCCGGTGCAGTGACCGTAAATCTGATGGCGGATGATTCCCGTGTAACATCAACACTACAGCACATTTGTGCTCCAGGAGATACATGTGAAAAATCGGTGGCGAGATAGGGTCCTTCATTCAGGTAACGCACTGTTCCTAGGACGTTGGCTCGCTACACCAGCGTCTGCAAAGACTACCGCAGCACAACTCCGAGACCTCAGTAACAAACCGGGCACGAGGCAACGCCCCGCCAGGCGGCCCGTGGCACCTCGACACCACCCCCATCTGTCCCAACGCATCCATTCTCTCCGTCGCACCGGCTCCAGCGCCCCCCCCCCCCCCCCCCCCCCCCCCCCCCAACGATGCCCGTTCGGAGCGCCCACTCACCCGCGTGAACTTGGAACAGAGCTCTTCGGCTTCGGACAGCATGTTGGCGCGCAGCATGTATTTGGCCGCCTTCGAGTTGATGTAGCGGTCGGCCGTGTCCATGCCTTGCGCCTCGTCCATCCACTTGTACGCCTCAATCGCGTTGCCCGCGTGCTGGAGTGGCGAGGAGCGTTAGAGGAGTCGGTGCCGTGCAGTAACGGTGCACTGTGTCAAGGGCGGTGTCTCACCGCGTCAGGAGCGCTGCCTCACCGTACCAGCCCGGTATTCGAGGACAGAAACGTGTCGGTGGCGGTGTACCACGTCCCACGCGATGGCGGCATAACAGCAGCGGCGTCCCCATATCAGAGACGGTTTCACTACATCAGCAACGGCGTCGTCATGACAGAGGCGAGGTCACCATGCCGGAGGCGATGCTGCCATGCCAGTGGCGCCTGGCTTGTCCGTAGTGCTGGTGCCATGGTGCCATGAGACAGAGTCACCATGTCAGGGGCGATATCGTCGCAGCAGAAGGGCTGTTTTCGGCGGCGAAGTTGCGCGTCAGATGGTGTCAGCAGGTCAGACAGGGTGTCAGCAGGTCAGACAGGGTGTCAGCAGGTCAGACAGGGTGTCAGCAGGTCAGACAGGGTGTCAGCAGGTCAGACAGGGTATCAGCAGGTCAGACAGGGTGTCAGCAGGTCAGACAGTGTCAGCAGGTCAGACAGGGTGTCAGCAGGTCAGACAGGGTGGCAGCAGGTCAAACAGCGTGACAGCAGGTCAGACAGGGTGTCAGCAGGTCAGATGGGGTGTCAGCAGGTCAGACAGGGTGTCAGCAGTTCACACAGGGTGTCAGCAGTTCAGATGGGAATTCAGCAGATCAGACAAGGCGTCAGCAGTTCAGGTGAGGTGTGAGCAGTTCAGATGGGGTGTCAGCAGGTCAGACAGGGTGTCCGCAGGTCACATGGTGTTACCAGGTCAGACAGTGGCCTGGAGGTCAGCAAGGACTGCCAGCCGGGACCGGAATGATATCAGATTGTTCACTGTGCCCCGTGTTGCACCCGCCATCGATAACTTCACATGTGCTGACGAACATGGCTGCATCCATGCACCAATGACAGGATTGCCAGACTTGAGCAAGGAACTTGGCAATGATTTAAACCCCCGTGCATACATTTCCAAAGCAGTACAATCAGTAGATTCGAAACCGGTGCGGCATACGGCGTAACAACTTCAACAAAGCAAAATACCAGTTTTAAGCGAAGCATACTTTGTGGAACACGCTTGAACTCTTTCAACACAGATATGCTTGAACTTACCTTGAATATCTTGGCCTTGAAGACGAACAGCTCAATAAGCGTGGGAGTATGTTCTAATGCCTTGTCTATGTAGCCTAGCGCCCTCTCTATATCACGTTTGAAGTCAAAGTGTTGCGCTAAGTAGTAATATGTCCACACTAAACACGACGGAGCCTCCTTCGGATTGCTGGCCTCGGCGTCTGTAACACATAGAACCGAGAGGTCAAGCTGATCTTCCACCCACACGGCATGGCTCCGCGCACGCTCCTCTTTGCCCATCATACCCCCCCCCCCCCCCGCGGCATGGAGCGGCAGAATCTAAGGGGACGGCTCCGCACTTTTGTGAAAGGAAACAAGGCTTCGTGGACATGCCTCCCAACCGCACCCGCGCTGGAGCATTAGAGCGACGCTTCCATGCCATCCATCATATCACCATTTATCATCATCACACAACCAAACCATAAGGCACCATTCTCTCTCTATATGTTGCTACCACGTACCAGCGTTGCCCCTGGGTGGAACACCAACAGCACCCGAATGATTCCAACGAGTTGACTCTCCTCCAATGTCGAGTTCAAAGCTTTATGCTGAGTTAACAGCCTTCAATGTGACAAGATGTGTTAGATGCGCAGTTGTACTGCAAGATGTACAAGATGTACCATAGGAACTTTGAACTTACAATGCCAAAAAAGTTGAAGACCATTCTTATATCAAGTCCATCCCCAATGAGCCCACTCGCCGCTCGATCAACTCCATCACGCGTTGACCCCCCTCTAGGGACCCACGACCGTTCAGCACCCCTCCAGTGGCCCGCCGCTCAGCTCAGCTTCTTCACCATTAGCCTGACGCTCTCGCCGTCCGCGCCTCCAGCGCCTTACCTTCGCTGCTGAAATAGCCCCGCTCGGCCAGACACCGTTCGAAGCCGAGCACCACGTCCTCGATGACCGACACCCATTCGTTGTCGTGGTACAGCGTCGAGAGATCGGTGAAGAGTGGCGGCGCGCCCTTGCGCAGACCCTGCCGCAGGAACTCGTCGACCAGCGAGCGGAACTTCTCCCCTGCCGACACGACGGCGACATGGTCAGCAGCCGACTCACGGCGAAGGCGGGGGTACGGGGCGCCCGCCCCCGCCGGAGGGACGCCGCTGCTCCCTCGCCGGAGGCGGCGTGGACGGCGGCGGGCACAGCGTCATTACCAAGCTGACTGGGTCATCGCACGTATCGGACGAAGGCGCTCAGGCAACCACATCGCGCTTTAGCCACCGAAAACCCATTTACTCGACGCCACGAGTAACAGACAAACCTGCGCTCACTTTTCACGGACGTCACCTGCAGCAAAACACCTAGGCCACCATCCGGCACGCGATCCACCCGGTCAGCACCACACCTCTCGCCCAGGGCTCGGTTGCTCACCGCCAGCGGCGCCCCCGCGTCGCCCGGCCTGCACCACGCCTCTCCCCAGGCTCGGCTGTCCACCGCCAGCGGCGCCCTCTCCGCCACCCGCGCCGCCCGGCCTGCACCACGCCTCTCTCCAGGCTCGGCTGTCCACCGCCAGCGGCGCCCGCTCCGCCAACCGCGCCGCCCGGCTTGCACCACGCCTCTCCCCAGGCTCGGCTTGTCCACCGCCAGCGGCGCCCTCTCCGCCACCCGCGCCGCCCGGCCTGCACCACGCCTCTCCCCAGGCTCGGCTGCCCACCGCCAGCTGCGCCCTCTCCACCCCCGCGCCGCCCGGCCTGCACCACGCCTCTCCCCCAGGCTCGGCTGCCCACCGCCAGCGGCGTCCGCTCCGCCAACCACGCCGCACCTCTAACGATATACAGCTGCAGCTTCTTGGGCGCGTGCGCGCGCGGGAACAGCTGCTGGTACTCCTGGTACACGGCCAGCCGCTCGTCCTCGGAGGCCGGGCCGAGCGCGCGCTCCAGCGCCGCGAAGTGGCGCCGGCTCTCCGGGTTGCGCTTCAGCAGGGCGCGGTAGATGGCGGCCGACTCGGCGCCCCGGTCCAGGTCCAGCAGGATCTCCGCTGAGGGGAGCGCAGCCGGTCAGGGCGACGAACCGGTGCGGCACGGTGGCGGCCGGAGACAGCAAGTGGGTGCGGCGAATGATTCTGAAAAGGCGCGCTAAGCCACGAACCACCATCGACAACTGCATAGAGTGGTTAAGCGGCCTGGTGTTTAACAGTGTTACAGCCCTGACCGACGAACGCCACCAAACAGAGCCTGCATAAGCTAAGCTTAGTACCAGCTGAAGACGTGACATGTGGCAGAGCTCACAACACCTGACGCCTACAAATACTCAAATGCGGCAGTCAGTCACGGTGTACCACGTTGACACCGAGATTAAGCAAGATCCCCGGTTGGCATCTGTCACAACAGCCCTCGTCACGAAGCAGCTATATCCACAACAGCAGCTGCGTCCACAATCCGCGCCGCCGGGCCACCCGACTCTTCTGACCTCCATCGACGCGCATCCATCCGCCACCACCGCCCCTGCTCACCTCGCATCTCCTGCACGGTGACCTTGTCGCAAATCTGCTGCTCGTACTTGTCGAGGTGCTCCAGCGCCTCCTGTAGCCGGCCGGCCTCCCGGATCACCATGGCCTGGTACAGCATGAGCTCGCTCTGCTCGAAGTCGGCCGAGTCCTTGGTGAGCGTCTCGCGGAACGCCTCCAGGATGCTCAGCGCCATGTCGTGGTCCTTGACCAGGTGCTGCGACATGGCGTAGCCGATCCACGACACGCGCTGTGTCGGCCGCAACACGAACAGCTGGTAGCGCGTTTCCTGCAGCGAACAGGACGGCGGTCAGGCGGGCGGGAGGCGTCACCGAGACGAGAACTGGGACCAGCGGCAGCTACGACTGTCGAGCATGTGAGGAATAGCATGGGTTGGGGCTACCGAGGTCGATGGTGGTATAACCGTGCATGGACCAGTCTATCGAGGGCCGTCAACTGCATTGCATTTCTAAAATGGCCATGACTAATATCCTTACACTATCTTTCATCGCGTACCTGTACACCGTCCCTTACTCGCATGGCACATATATACCCAATATGTGCATGTGAGGAATAGCATGAGTTTAAGCCCCCCGAGGTCAACGATGGCATAACCGTGCATGGACCAGTCTATGCGAGGGCCGTCAACTGCATTGCATTTCTAAAATGGCCACGACTAATATCCATACACTACCTTTCATTGCGTACCTGTACACCGTCCCTTACTCGAACGGCACTGAAGGCACCGCGAGAATGTGAACGAAGCCAGAAGCTCTAGTATTCCCGTCCAACCCATCGCACAACACTCACCCGGTATCCTTCGAGATCGCGCATCTGGATCTGCAGTTGCGAGAGGTCGCGCAGTATCTGAATATTGTCCTTGTCCCACTTGAGTGCGTTGCGGTAGCACTTGATGGCCTCGTCATACTTCTTGTCGGAGCGCTGCAGGATGCCGTACACGTGCCAACACACGTGCGAGCGCAGGTTGTTTCGCAGGCCCTTGCGCACGTGGTCGTAGGCCTCCTCCTTCTTGCCCATGCAGTTGAGGATGAGGCCCTTCATGGAGAGCGTCTCTGCAGGAGGCCGGGCCGGCGACGGTCAGCACTCAAGGCGCGACGAATCGGGCCGGGTGCATGAATCAGGCACACGGCCGGGGGCCATCAGAACACGTGACGCAATACGCGCCGATCGGCGATGTCCACTGTTTATTTGCGCTCGATGATTGTCTGGCCTATATTAGTGTCGTCGCATATGCACGACGCAGCGTGGATCCGGCTAATGACACCCGCCGCTGCACACGGGGGTCACGAGAAGGGCAGGGTACGGCGCGGCGTCACCACCTGGCCAGGCTCGAACGACACTGTGACCGATACGACGCCCGGCACAATCCTGGTGGTGGTGCTACAGTACACGTGACACAACCGCGTAAAACCATATTATCTCACACCTTCTGCATCCCTGGCATGTCCACGGCGGGTGCATCTAGGACAACCTGAGCTCAGACAATCCCTATGACGTGTTGCGGGAATCAAACAAGCCATCCCGTGGTCCATACGCGAAACGTCATCATTATGCTGCGAGGAGCACTGCTCGATCAGTCGGATGTGGCTTTGTCCATACGCCATGCAGTCTAATGACGCCACGCGCTCACGGTGCTGGGAGCTGAGAGCTTGTCGACCAGTCCAGCCAGCGTCCAGAGACGCACGGCATCAGGGCACGTCAAGACCAGGCTCAGCACGTCCAAATCCTATGTTCAATAGAGAATCCAGACACGTGTGGTGGAGCCCACTGTCACAGTGTGGCGGCTGTTTATTCTGAAGAAAGTCGTATTGATCCTGCACGGCAGCAGCAGGAGGGGGCGAGGGCGGCGGGGGGGGGGGGGGGCTGTTGTCGGGAGCGCTTCCACCGAGGCACCTTACGCGAGACAGGTGGCGCTGCCATAGACGCCAGGCTTACCTCCGTGGTCCGGGTGCGCCGCCAATATCTGTTTGGCGAATTTCAACCCATTTTTGTACTGTTTATGCTCGTAGCATTTCTGAAAACAAAATGCATCCACCTTAACGCCATATCACGAAGGGAGATTTAGACCAGATGGAAACGGTTCATGCTCGTAGCACTTCTGGAAGCAAAGGCATCTACCTTGGCACCGGAGCACGAATAGAGGTAACGACAGGATGGGACTGGTGCACACCTCAGGCGCGGCCGAGAGCGCGGGCGGGAAGGGAGCACCAAAACAACCAGAAAACAGGTAAACACTGGCGGGTAGATGGCAGCGCAATAGACATCGTCCGTCCTTCACCCCAACGTCGCGTCATTCAGAGTTCGTGTTTCCATTCAGTGCTCTCTGACGCTTGCAAAGATCGCGAAAACGTCCGTGTTATGGTACGGACCCGGCGACCCATGCCGTGTCGAGCAACCAAGATGCTCACGTCTGAAAATCTGATCTATTTCCATGACTTCGCATGTGGGCGCCGGCAGCCATCAGGCACGCGCTCACTCCGTCAGTAGCTTATCCAAAGTACGTGTCACGCCACGCGAACGGCACACTAAACAACTACGCACTCGAGCGATACACCATCGCCAATTGGCACCGGGCGGGGGGTGTGGCGCGCCAGTGAACTTCTCACGATCCGACGGCGTAGCGTGCGCACCGCTGTCAAACAGGGCGGGAGAGCGGCCGAACACGCCGCGCGCCACCGGCTGGGATGAGATCAGCGCCCCGCCGCCGCTCCCGCAGCGCTCCCAAATGGGCTTGGGGAGTGCTGGGGGCCCGTGCTCGTGCTCCGTGGCGGTTCCGGCATGGACCGGCGGATGTGCCGCGATTGCCCAAAATGGACAGTTGCTTGTTGTCACAGCAGCAGCTTAGCTTGAGGATTACAGTACATCTGGACATTGGAGGATGGTGGCATGCAATGAAGTTGAGGACATGTATGTATGTATATATATATATATATATATATATATATATATATATTATGCATACATACATATTATATATATGTATGTATATATACATACATATTATGCATATATATATATATATATATATATATATATATATATATATATATATATATATAGCATATGTGGAGTGTGTGTGCATGTCATATAAAGAACAAACATATAACCTGCATAGATGTGATGAAACTGGACATGATGTTTTGACAGAACATTATTGGCTTTCACTGGGTTCGGCAAGACTAAGCTAGTCATAGCCAGGTTGGATACAGCAAGGTTGGCCAAGACAAAGTTGGATACAGAGTAGTTGGTCAGATGTGAATATGGAGTTTAACATTGGATGGTTAAATATTAGCAAACCATGTTCCAAATGCCTGGGGCAGCTCCCATGATGAATGACTATCAAATAATGCTACCAAAACCCACAATCTCAATTTGTCCAGATTCACCTAAGCACCAGCATCCTTCCTGTGTGTTGTTGCAGAACCATGTTACCATCACCATGTGATCACAGGCAGACAGCAAAGGTGAATAGGCACTGCCTCTCTAAGAGCATGGCTCCATATTTATTGAGATAACACAACAGCCAACAAGTGAGCTCATGCAGCTGATAATGAACATAGATATTATCATTATGCTACCATGTAAGAAGTTAGCACAGGATCTCACTAGTGGGCTAGCAACAGACAAAACACCTCATGTCATGGAAGTAAAATCTCACAGCAAAACAAGCCATATCTTACAAGATTGGGCACTTATATAACCATAAATTTGATAATTGTCATTATGACACAACTACAAAAAATCAGGGCTTATCCAAGTAGGTAACATTATGTCAGAACTATATCTACAGAAACAATCTATTAACAATTGTCAACCTATGATGGTAACACTTTCAGTTAAAAAAAGATTGGCTGACAGGAATCATGTTCCACTGTCAGGCAGAACTATCTCAAGATGGAAGTATCAGTACTGTACTGAATCTTATACTGACAAATGTTATCAGCCAGCACAGCACATTTGGGATTATGGATCAGGAATTTGCAGTCCCAGCAACATCACACCACCAAAAGGATGTGCTTGTGAGAAGAAGCAAGACAAACCTCATGTTCACATATTTCCTAACATATTTCATTTTGTCCAACATGTATTGAGGCTTTTTAATCATAATGCAATCCAAAGCAGGACATTTCCATTAGCAGTATACAGTTGTAAATGTTTAAATGCACATTATCCAGGTGCATAACATTTTCTGCTAGATTATGGTTGCTGTTGCTAGATAATCTGAGCTAAAATGTAACATTATCTATTTGCTGGGGTACCATACTACTACATGAATAGGTTGGTACTAGCGTAGTGTGTTATAATTAGTCTTTTTAGTCCTACCTGCCACACAACAAAAGTTTTGGTCTTCATCAGAAAAATGTTACTTGTGATTTCCACATAAAAATCCTCACAGACCAAGTGAGACAGCCCTGGTGCTTATGGGCAGAAGTGCTTGATTCCAGAGACCAACTCTGCATCAAGAAATTCTTACCTGAGTTAGTTGGCTATGCTATCACAGGAATCTATATCACACACAATAATTCAAATGCTCCAATGCATGGGAACTGCAGTCAAGAATTTTAATCAAATCGCATGTAGTAATCTGGGGATAGGATTTGGCAATGACGGACAGGCCATGAAGTGCTTCACACTAATCTAGCACATCCTTTATGAAGCAGTCTCTTTTGTCATGAACATAAATTCAATTCAAAATAGATACCTCTATGAACATATCTGAACTTAAGTTACGACTGCCTATTCTACCAAACTGCATATCCTGAACAAGCCAAAACCTGACCATCCTGCTATCTCCATCATGGACTCACCCCATGCCTGACTGTGCATGCTAAAAAAGAAGCTGTACACTAAGACATCTAACCATGGATGCAAGTTTCATGAGAATGAAAAGAAACATTCTATATCTTTGTTGCCTATCCACAGCCACATGATAAAATAAGGGCAGAAACAAACCAAGAACAAGATACTGTTTAACTGCTAATTGGTTTTCATATTGCAATTTTTCTGGTCTGCCTCAGCACAAAGCAAGACAATTCGCAAATAAACTGAGGGTACATTCAACATGATATCTGGAAAATGGACACTTCAAAATGCGAAAATTGGCGCCTAACCACTCCAAAGAAACGACAAGACGTTTGCGACTTACCACGATCTTCTTGAAAACCGAGTTTTCTCGGGAGGGTAAAACATTTGGATCATTCTGGTTCGCTGGTGACATCTCTCAGGACCACAATTATGCCAAACACTTATGCATGAACCTATTCGAAACCCACAGGACACCACTCGAACTGAGCGCACCCAATCCCTGACTATCCCCTGCGCCGAACCTCGTGGTCTCAAATTTGACGCAGAGCTACCGGGTGCTACCAATTTGCAGGTATATTGATATGCGGTAGATCACCCGAATATTTGAAATACTAAATACTGACAGTGGCCTGTCGCAATAATATCAACATCTGGGTGCATATCAACAAATGATATGAGCTTGATTCGAATCAGCACTTTTTCAACAGCCGTGATTAGTTGGGTGTTATTTGACTAATTTCGTCTGTACTGGATGCTGTCGCGACTCGTCTTCTACGGCCTCTCCTTGCGTGTTCCACACTGGAATAAGATCACCGAGGATGCTCCCTTTACAAGGGCAGCAGCAAGCATGGATCTTAAATGCTTTCAAAATATTTATTAACTTTGATTGACGAGTGTTCAGCAGATTAGTGGAGTCGTCGCTGGCTGCTCCAAACTGCAGTGGAAAGGTTTTTTAAAGCAATTGTTGAAAAATATTTGCACAACTTCAGTCATGGCTCGCATTTGACTTTGCATTATCGAGTGGTTGTTTCTTTTACACATAAAGTCGCTGATAAAAAACATTCCGGAATGTTGTTGCATTCCTTCTTCAAGTTGAGGGGATTTAATTTAGCAGCTGCTTGCCCTCTTGCCGCTGTATCTAAACACTGAATACTGGGGAGCATTATTTAAGTTCGTCACCGCAACTGTTAATTTATTTTTTATACCTTAGACCTTAACACATTTATGAATATCATCATGAGCTAATCTAAGAGAATAGTTTACATATTTGACAGCGCCGTGCTGTCCTTTCCGTGTAAACTTCCGAAGATTGCCAGGCAGGTCCCGCCAGGCAGAGATATGGCCGACATGAAGGGTGATGTAGGTATCAAATCTTTGTGCACGTGGTGCCTTTTGTGCTTGTAATGAATCTATCCGCGCACTAGGATGTATGTGGTTTTCGTGTGCCCAGTATCGCTTACAGTGAATTTGTTTACATATTCGACGCATGTAGCGCGAATGTGACCCGGTGCAGTGACTGTTCTGCTCGGAAGGACTTCCATGTGAGCTCGTCCCAAAAAATCGAATGCATGTATGCAGTGGAATTTTAGCATTAATTTCATGCACCCTGCTTTAGAAATTTATCAGTGGCTAATTGTGAAAGGACCTTTGCCTCAATTGATGGTGATGGTCCTATTGTGATTAAGGTAGTTCATCATTAACAGCTTAATGTGCTAGAATTTGATCATGTAATTCCACACAATGGCGTTCCATATTTTGCTGAATCTTTGCATTGATTAGGGTATGTCTACATTGGCTTCAAATCCCCTATGTTTACATATTGTTGGTTATTTGTTGAGTAGAGCATAGGGATTAGGTATTGCTGGCATACGCTTTCCACGTTGTTAAAGGCTTGAATTAATGAAGTATAGTATGCAAGCCATTGTTAGTGGCATGCATAGATGTACCAGATATGTAGAAATAGCCATTCCCTCTTAAGATGTTGTAAAGGATAATGTGAAGTGCTTTACCCTCACCTATTAGTCATGGGGTTAATCCTAGGTGATGAAGAAATCTGTGGTACTGTTGCCATTTGATGATGTCAAGTTAATGAAAGTTTAAATGCCTGAGATAGTGGTATCATAAAATCTAGGTGAACCTGTCTTTATTCCCACTAATAGCCCCTGGGCACTTTCCTTCACATGTGTGGGTCCCAGCATGCAAGTAGGAATGCAAGTTATATGGATGATTAAAATTGGATAGAACTTACCTGGCTAGAGAGAACTGGACATAACCAGATGGACCAAGTGTACCTAAAACTAGATAGAACTTATCTGGCTAGAGAGAACTGGACATAACCAGATGCACCAAGTGTGCCCTCATAGGACTTGATGAAGCTGGATTAGGGCTGATGGGACTGAATAGGACAAGACAGGATCAAATGATGTGGGATGGGAGTAGACAGAACCAGAGGGACTTAGTCAAAAAGAGGTTAAAAGGCATCAAATATGATTTTTTTTAGATGAGGTAGGATAAAGAATAGTGCTATATGTGACTGGATAGAACCAGAGGGACTGAATCAAAATAGTGGTTGAATGGTGCTACTATGGCTGAGTCAAAACTAGACCATGCTAAACTATGATAGACATAACTGGATGGAATGCCATTAGGAAAGATAGGACTAGTCTGTACTAATTTGAACTGGATAGGCCTGGATGGGACTGAATGAGATCTGGTGGCATGGATGGGACCAGACAGGACCAGGTGGATTGGACAGCACTAGAAAGAGGTAGTTTGAACAGAACTGGACTGGATCTGATAGAATGGGGCTGATGATGGGACTGGACAGGATCAGATGAAATTGGATGCCACCAAGGAGAGCCAGACATTGCAGAACAGGACCAGACAGAGCATGATGGAAGGTGGTAGGCTCGGACCAGATGAAAGCAAATGGGGCTGGACCATACAGCATGAAATTGGATGAGACATGCTGGGATAATATAGGACCAGCTGTAGTGGATGGGGCTGGACAGGACTAGACAGAACCTGATGTGTTGGGACTGAATCAGACAGCAAGGTATGAGACCAAAGGGAACAGGTTGGGACAGAATGGGATTGGATAGAATCAGATCACATCTGGTCCCATATAGCCCCATCTGAGCAGATCTGGCCCCACCTGGCCTTGTCTGGTGCTATCCAGTCCTGTCCAGCATCATCTTGTCCCACATAGTCTTGTCTGGTTGGGAGTGGTCCCATTTGGTGTTGTTCAGTCCTGTCTGGTTCTTTCTAACCCAAGCCAGTCCCATCCAGCCTCTTCCATTTTCATCTGGTCCTGTGGGATGTCTTCCAATCCCTTGCCTTGACCCATGTAGGCTCATCACACTATCTGGTACCACTCTGTCTTGTCCCATCCAGTCCTGAACCATTCTGTACATTAACATATTGTCCCATCCTGTCCAGGCCCATTCCCTGTGTTGCAGGCCATTTTAGGAAGTCAGGGGTCCTGCTGGCTTCATACTTCTTAATTCTGATATCAGTAGATGTACAGCTCAGGAAATTGGTGTTGGAGTATGTGGTTAACCTTCATAGGTCTGGCCAGGATGCATTATGTGATGTTTCTCATGGGCATAGATTTTCTTTCAAGCACTGATCTGTCATGGTATACTTTTCATTGGTGCCTGTGAGTTTGCCTAGTGTAGGCTGTCAAGTTACTGCCAACATCTTGTCTGGTTTGCTGAAGTACACTGATGCCCATGACATTTACGTCAACAGTATGAATGTGCCCCCATTTTCTTCTGTTGGGGATCTAACATTTTGCAGAGCACCACCCTGTACTATCTGCCATAACATGTGCCAATCCCACAGCAGCTTTAGCATGGAGCATCTTGGCATGGCCTGGACATGGTCATAGTGTGAAGAAACATACACCCATATGCTCCAAAGTGTCTTTCTGGTCCCTGAATTCGCCAAAGGTGGTCTCTGTACACTTCAGACATGACTCTGGGCATGGCCACAGCACAGACCCAGCAGTGGCCCTGATACTGTGTCACCAACTTGTGTTGCCATTGACAAGGCAAAGTAGCTTCATTTTCTTCATTTATGATCCAGGCAGACTGTGCTGTAACCTATTATGTAACCTACCATGTTTCAGTGGCGGGTTGGACATCTTAAGTCTGACATCCATTGAATTGTTGCTTGCACTCACTATGTGTTCTGTTGCAGGCCCGTGACTCGGGTAACCAGTCAGTGCAGGTGTTTGGCCGCAAGGTAAGAGGCAAACAGGCATCTGCTCTTGGGAGGTGGAAGTTTAGGGTAGCTGTTGGTGCATGGCAGTCATTCAGTCTGGCTTAAAGATCACAGTCATCATATCCAGTTATTCAGGGCATTCTTGACATTTTGTTTAAGTATATCATATAGTCCTGTTGAAAAACATCAGCTGGACACATGCCATGAGGGGATATTGAATCATTTCTGCAAGACTGGATGTGGTCAGTTTTCTTTGCATGTTGTTTGATTTGGCATTAAAGGCACATACTAAACAGGGATTTTTCAGAGAACACCCTGGAGGGAAAGGTCATTTTGTTTAGTCTTGTAGCTATCAGATTCAGTCAGTTCAAGCTCTATCAGAGGGGATTTATGTTTTCCCAGCTGCTGTGTAGGTGACCAGGTTTGGTCAATTTACCTCACCTGTGACTTGAATCTGTGGTCAATAAACCCAAGTCCTTGTGAATCTGCCAGGTTTGTGGTGATAAAAATTTGAAAATATGGTTGTATGTGATGCCATCAGTCACTTCAGACAAAACTCACAATGCTATTCTGGACATTGCCAGATGCACTGGTGGAAGGGTCCAGGGTATGATAGATAATGTGATATGTTTGCTTGAGCTTACTTGTTTAATTTGCATCCTGGTGGACTCAGGATGGCTTTTTATTGACCTTTTTGTCAGATTGGGGGATTGCAGAGGGTTTTTGGTGTCAAACAGCACTATTGCTTGTGGTGGGGTGGGTCCACCTCCGCGATCTATTGTTACATGGTTAATGACTTATAAGGCAGTGGTGTAGGGGCATCCAAGAAGTTGTCCATTTACCCCTTTGTAATTTAATTGTGTTCCAACATTGCCATGTGGTGGATGCTACCTGGTAATTAGGCATGGGTGAGGCGCGGCCTACCTCATCCCTGCCACTCCTTCCTGTTGCTTTCATGCATGCATTTGCCCATTTCAAGTCTGACAAGATATCCTAGCAGTGATCCAAGAGATGACGCATCAGAATTGCGCCGCCGTTGGACGGTGTTCCCATCTATCGACCCAGAAGGAAGCTGCAAAGCGTGGGTGCTCCCGTTGCAGAAAACGGCGACGGCGGTGGCCCACTGCAAGCGCGGCCGCGGCCTGATCAAGGTCAACGGGCGGCCGCTGGAGCTCGTGCAGCCGGCCGCGCTCTCCTACAAGCTGCAGGAGCCCATCCTGCTGCTGGGCAAGGAGCGCTTCGCCGGCGTCGACATGCGCGTGCGGGTCAAGGGTGGCGGCACCATCTCACAGGTGTACGCCATCCGGCAGGCCATCTCCAAGGCGCTGGTGGCCTACTACCAGAAGTGTGAGTAGCACGGGGCCGTGGGTGTGCCGTGCGCCGCGGCTGCTGGGGCGGATGCAGGCGTGCGCTGCACGCTGCGGAATTGTATTGGAAGCCGTGACTCTTTATCGGGATATTTGTCTGTGGAATATTGGTGAGGTGTCCCTGCTCTTAACATTATATTGGTGTTTTAGTCAAAGAAGGGGCAGAATCGATCAGCAAACAAACCCCTTTGACCACGCGTGTGGATCCGTTTTCAGTTGGGGCTCTAGCCCTCCCCTCCCCCAAGTTCAAGGATACAGGGGGACGAAACCACGTACAAGCCATTTTGTTTGCTATTTTGGGAGTGTGTTGATATTTTCGCCATTGAGCTCCCCCTCCCTTCTCCCCCCCAACTCGTTTTACGAACCTGCGCAGGGGCTGCCTTCGACCATAGCTGTGCCCTGTGACAGATTGAAAAAGGCCATAATTATAGCTGAATTAGGCTACATAGCATGTTCTGGGAAATCGCCGAGTGTTGATGTTTGTCAAGGAGATAGAAAGCTGTGTTTACTTTCGTGGGCATTAAATCACTTGCTTAACCTATCCAGCATAGTGTGGCTTTTACATAGCACTCATACTTGATCCTAGAATGCATGGTTTGCGGCAGTGGGTTGAAACTGTAGCCTTTGCCAGCAAATTGGTCCGATTTCGTCGCGTTTCAGCAATGAGAAGAAGTGAGGTCTCCTTTTGTGGTGTTTACAGCCAACTAAAACCTTTGAACTACTAGATGGCCTGCAGGATATGCTCTGACATGACTGCAATAGTTATACCACACATGATATTTGTATTTCTGTCAGTCCCATGTTTGGTTCATGTGGGTCAATTTTCCCGAGCAATATTCGGTGGCCATCTTGCTGAATGCCTTCGTTTAATGGCTCTCGTTTGGTAACAGGTATGTATATGATGGAACAGTGTTTGTGTTGTTTTGTTTTTTTTTTGGAAGAGGTAGTTATCAAAATTCCGACACTGGTCACCAATGCAGGGAATTTGTTGGGACAATTGCGAGAGAAATCATACATGCGCAGTGCTCTGTTCGCGTCGGGCATTTTTCCACGTTTGGTGCTTCCGACAGCTGTTACCGAGGCCGCCTTGTTCTCGGCAGACGTGGACGAGGCGTCCAAGAAGGAGATCAAGGACATCCTTATCCAGTACGACCGTTCGTTGCTGGTGGCTGACCCGCGGCGCTGCGAGTCCAAGAAGTTCGGCGGCCCCGGAGCGCGCGCCAGGTACCAGAAGTCCTACCGTTAAGCTTGCACGTGTCTTTCTCGCGTCTACAATAAACGCGGACGGGAGAAAGGCGTGAGAGCTGTTTTATATTCTCGCACGGATGAAGCACCATAACACCGAGAAACATCAGACGAACGAGACACTGCGGCTGTCGATAGCGGTGCGAGGCGACAGTGGGCCTCACACAGTCACAGTGTGATCCTCCAGTCCCGCGGCTCAGTAGAACTCACTGCTATCCCTGCTGGTGACGGCCGGCTCGTCGTCGCGCGGCTGCGGCGGCTGCGACAGCATGTCGAGCAGCACGTCCTCTTCCTCCTCGCCGACGTCCCCGTCTCGCCCGTCCGGCTGCTGCCGGCGCAGCAGCGCCTGCGAGTAGTGGACGGCGGTGGGCGCGGGTGCGCGCCGTGGCCTCCGCGCCAGCGCCAGCAGCGCCGCCCCCAGCAGCAGCAGGCCGGCGGCGCCGCCGACGGCCGCCAGCACGGCCAGCTCCGCTGGCTGGCGGCGGCCGGGCGCCGCGCTCCGCCGCGCCAGCCGGTACTGGCGCCGCTTGTAGCAGCACACGGAGAACTCGCGCCGCTCCATCCACAGCGTGACGTTGTGCGCGCGCAGCCGGTCCAGCAGGTGGGTGAGGTGGAGCGTGTCGCGCGCCGTCAGCGTTACGTTGGCCAGCAGCTGGGCGCCGTCCTCGCTGCAGTAGGCCCAGGCGATGCGCGGTCCGGGCCGCACGTACCCCAGCAAGCCGCGGCGCACCACCGACAGCTCAGTCTGCTCGCGCTCGCACGGCCCATCCAGCGTCACCAGCAGCCACTCGAGCGGCTCGGAGCGGGCGCCAGTGCCGCCTGCGGGCCGGGGGGGGGGGGTGGGGGGTTAGTCGCGGCCGGGCGCCTCTTGTGAGGGACGAGGCGGGCAGTGGGGAGCGGCCAGGTCGTAGGCGACGGTCACACGTTTCCATTTTCGTAGGTTAAGAAGAGTCACGTCTCAAAACTGGTGCGCAAGACACTCCCTAAACGCGCCTCGATCACGTCCGAAGCGGAATGGCGCTTGTGCCCTGGCCAGGCGCCGGGTTACAACGCCACCTGCAGAGCTGTAGTATGCGCAGCGACTTTATAGGGGTCACTGGGAGCGCTTAGCCGCTTACGCACGTGATGACGCGGACAGCGGTCCGCTAAGTGGGCGCGAGGACAATGCTCTGCCCTGTCCACCGACTTCGAAAGTACGGGCAGCCTCGAACTAGCGCCCCAGAGCAATCGCAAGGGTACTCTGTCGGCACCGTCTGAAGATGAGATGATTGCCGCTGTCACGGCTTTTGCAGCCCGGAAAATAAACAGCATCACTCAGTTGTGAAGTAAACACACGTGGTGACCGGCGGCGTCGACACTACGGAAACCGCCCGGGACGCCACGTGTCGTGGCAGGTCTCCAGGTGTTCATCATCACGTCAAGTGTTCGCGATCGGACGGACCGAACGTCCGGCTCCAGGGGCGCAGGCGGGAATGAAGGGTCGCCGGCGTACGCGGACAGAACCGCAGCAGCGGGCCTCCGAGCATGTCACTCGCGCAGGTGCGTGCTCCACCTCATGTTACGTCAGGCCACGGAATGTCCAGCATTAAGGTGCCGACAGCGACCCGGCACTTCTACAGCGGCTTGGGGCACGGTGCAGCGTTTGCAGCCCTTTCTGCCCGCGTTAACGATCTGCGTACCGCTACCGACAGAACGCCTGCCACGGACCAGACCCGCGTCGGAACAGAGGGGAGGGGGGACGCGTAATTGGAGCTGGCTGGCCACCGCCCACGGTATGGCGCGGGCCACCCGCGCGTGCCGCCACTCACTGGTCCGGCCTCCTGCGGCCAGCTGGCCGAAACACCGGAGCCGGCACGCCGCCGCCGCCGCCTGCCCTGCGGCGCGACCGGCGGGTGGATGGACAGAATTGTTCGTGGTGATCAACGCGCCGTGCAATTCACTCCGGATCTGCGCCGGTCGCGCATGATGCTCACGGAATAGTTAACTCCCTGTCGACTTGGTGACGATCTCGGCCACCATGGGAGCGCTATTGGCGATCACTTATTGAAATCCCCAAATAAATCGTTTTACTTGATAGCTCAACAGCACTTAATTCTAGTTGATCCTGTAGACGAAATGACCCTCCCGGGGTCAGTTATATGTTCGGCAGAGCACACCACATGTCATGTTCTCATCCTCATCCTTGCGTATTAGGGCACACCGTTCTTGTCCTCATCAGCTGTGGCGTGGGCCCTCGGTCCGAGCATGCGAATACTCCCGTGATGGTCCGCTCCGGCGATGGCCACGCCTGACCCTCCTGATTCCAACTCCAGAGTGTTCCGCTCCTGACTGCGGCTTCGGTTCCGGACCGTCCTGTCGGAGCGCGCGCGCCGGCCCCGCCCCGCCCCGCCGCGGGGTCGCCGGCCTATGACGCTGGCCGCAGTGGCGTAGGCTGACCGCCAGCCGATACAAACAGCTGACGTAACGACGGACGGGGGACAGGCGCCTGCCCGCTATCTCCGGGGCGCCGGCGCCTGCACTCTGCACAGTCGGGAGCGCCCACTGGGCGGCGGCCCGACCAGGACACGCCCGGCAGCTGGCGAGGGCCACCGGCCGGCCCATGACCGCGGGTCAGACACAGGTGTGGAGTCAAACTGAGAACGCCTGGTCGATACGGCGCAGGTCGGGTCTCGGCCAACACGGGCGAGGTTCAGACAGGCGCAAAGGCGAACTGAGAACGCCTGGTCGCGCCGGCGCATGTCGGGTCTTGGCCAATATGGCTGGGGTTCAGATACAGGTGCGGAGGCGAACTGAGAACGCCTGGTCCGTCCGGCGCAGGAAGGGTCGCGGCCAACATGAGCGGGGTTCAGACACAGGTGCGAAGGCGAACTGAGAACGCCTGTTCGGTCCGGCGCAGTTCAGGTCTCGGCTAACACGGGCGAGGTTCAGACAGGTGCAAAGGCGAACTGAGAACGCCTGGTCGGTCGGGCGCAGGTCGGGCCTCGGCCAACACGGTCGGGGTTCAGACACAGGTGCGAAGGCGAACTGAGAACGCCTGGTCGGTTGGCGCAGGTCAGGTCTCGGCCAACACGACCAGGGTTCAGACAGGTGCGAAGGCGAACTGAGAACGCCTGGTCGGTCGGGCGCAGGTCGGGCCTCGGCCAACACGGTCGGGGTTCAGACACAGGTGCGAAGGCGAACTGAGAACGCCTGGTCGGTCGGGCGCAGGTCGGGCCTCGGCCAACACGACCAGGGTTCAGACAGGTGCGAAGGCGAACTGAGAACGCCTGGTCCGTCCGGCGCAGATCGGGCCTCGGCACACCTGGCCGACTGCGGTTTGACAGCACTGACGCCGGGAGGCGGCACATCGCAGTGCGGCGGCCCCGGCCGGCGGGCGGGACGCAAAGAGCGACGCGCGGACAATGCGGAACGGCACCTGAATGCGAGCGTGACTCACAGCTATTTTCAGGTGTCGCTCAGCGTTGACCCGTGCGACTCGCCTCGCTGGTGGACGAGACGCTGACGCAGCTGACGGGGTGGGCGGGGACACATGGGCGGACCAACGGACACCCCAATCCGCAGTCTTTGAATTGAGGCGAGAGCTGTGACCGGGATGTGCTTTAAGCCTGTCGAAACACTGCTGCTATGTGTCAATAAGAGTGCTTGTGTGATATGATGGGCGGCAATGTGTGTAAAGAGCGAGACGTTACACCCCGGCGGCTCCGAAATTTTACGTATTATCGGTACAGGCACAGTCACGTAGCAAGAGACTGCGCTCCCGGGTATACGCTGGAAGGCCGGCAGAACGTTTGCTTTTCCGAGGCAAGTGTCTTCACGATAGACGATGATACAACGGTGGCAAACGGTGGCGATGGAACGGTACAACAACGAACGAGAATTGACATCACGTAGTCCCGCTGAAGAACAAAACAATTAGTCCACGAACCATGAAATAGGAAGATGAAGTTGGCTCACTTACCGACAACGCTGAGGGATATCGGCCCGGCAATCAGCCGCAGGAAGGTCAGAAGCACAACTTGCAGGAGCAAGTTTACATTACAGGTCTCCATGGCCGTAAACACATCCGCACTGGGGAGCCCCTGGCCGGCCGCCGCCGTCGCACCTCGAACGGCCCGCACGCATTACGTGCAGGTTACGCCCCCCTCACGCTCATGCTAATGTAGCCGCCCGCGGAGATCATTGCAGGCACATAATTGCACGCCTATGTAAATGATGTTGAGTATTTAAATGAGCGAATACCGCACAAACTGCGGTTTTCTTGTAACCCTTCGAAACCAGCCGCCGGCCGCTGACAGCAGCGGTACTAGACTGGGTTAAATGAGAGGTCTGAACGCAGAGGATCGATGAATGCATCGATGAATGGGGCAATCGGCGGCCAACCAATCTCCACTGTGACCCCCAAACTCATCTAAAATGCGATAATAAAGGAAAGCTTAACTCTTTCTCACTTCACGCTGACACCACTAAATCAGCTGGAGATGCACAGATCAAGTAGACATTTGTGATGCTCGAGAACAAAAGCGACGCACAAAGCACGTTTGGTGTGGGAGCGAGCAGCGGCTGTTCGGCTTCTGGGAGAAGCGAGTGGTTGGGTGATTACGAGTGCTGCGGTGAAAGGTAACCTACGTTATATATTTCAACGAGTACATAGATTTGTGATGATCAGGCCCACGCGAATCTTCTGTCCTTGATTGAACAGTGTGCAAACAACCTTAGAGAGGTGACTTGATCAGGTATGGTTAATCCTTTCTCCAAATGGTCAGGTACACTAGTTTTTGACTTCTGTAGAAAAACGTAGGGGACCAAGCCTGATCGGAAATGCCTCTAAGTGAGCCAGTTTTGTGTTGTGTTGAAATGTTGCAGGGTATTGTTGCCTCTATGGTTCTAGTGGCTTTCCATGCACAAAAATTGATGCCAACTGAGTGCCAAACTCTGAGTACTTGGATTTATGACTTACGTGTAGTATAACTGTCACTGTGATGCTGCTACACCCTGTATGCTCAGCATGTCATGTCATGTCATGTCATGCATTTTGTCAGGCTTATTTTTAGTGTTTCCATATTTGGTGAATTGTCAAGTTGCAAGTTGTATAGAACATGTAACAGTTCTCATGCATCTTATGCTGTCTGGTAAACAATTGTTTCATGATTTTATTAATTATGCCTTCTGTATTTCAGATCTCACATAGCCATCTCAAAATGTTTAAAAAGTAAGTCTGTAAGCTTTCTTCCCTGGCATTGATGGGGTGACAATGCAAAGTATCTGTCAGAATACGGCATGATTGTGATGTGTTAGCCAGACATGTATCTGAATCCCAAGGCAGATCCAAGATCCTATGTGGTTTTATATTTATGGGATGCTGGGATCTTGTTTGTGGCGGCATGCACATACCTGGTGTTAGCTTCAAACTTGCTGCATTGTGTGTAACTTTGTAGTAGATTCTTGTTGATTGCTTATTTTGCTCCTAAATGATGTCATGGTCCAAATCACTGGTACCATCTTATATGCTTAGAATTAAAGTAAATCCAAACAATGAATAGATCATGTTCAGTTGGGGCAGCCCATTAAAGCCTGCCCCCCCCCCCCAAAAAAAAGTGCAGCTCTGTCACGATGGCGTGGTTTATCTTACTTTGGCTACAATGATGACTCAGAGTTGTATTTCATGGCTTATGCTCATTTTTATATGAGTTGTTCACGTATATTTTGGATGCACTATGTTATTTTAAATTACAATGCATGCTAGCAAGGTGAAACATGTTACCATGTTAGCCATGTTACAGTAACAGTTATGTCATAATATACCTTTATTTTATGCACTTTTCTCAGCCATATGCAAATCAGTATGCATACTGACCCAGAAATGCCGAGCACAGGCTGCCATCTGCAGGAGAGAAGTATTTTTATGGCCACAGAGTGAGACATGCAAGAGGCACACAGGAACAGATGCAAATCCAAATTGTCATGGAGCACACAACAGAAGTTTCTTAGAACCTGGCATTGTACAGCTGGTGTCCAAATAAACTTGTGGTTGTATGAACTGAGGAAGAACTGCAGACACAGGGTTGACTGATAGTGATGATGTTCCATAGTTTGCTGGGGGCTTATCAAAAGTTTAGTCAACTCTGATTTGTGGTATTGGGATGCAATTAGTGGGCCATGTAAGGGCAAGATATCGGATAAGTGATGTTCAGGAGAGGTGCTTAGGGGGACAACATGACAATGTGAGAAACAGATGATCGCATTCTGTCACAAAGCACTGGGGGCGGGTTTGTGTTCCACCCTCACTCACCCAGCTGTTAACCAGGTAAGACACCTTAAGAGAGGTACCTGCTGTGCTTCAGCCCTGGCAAAATGCAGCTTGCTCCACTGATATTTATGTCTTATTTGCATTTGAAATGGATGTTTTGAGCCTGATGTGTGTATAGGTGCAGCCTGGCTATGTTTGGAATGCTGTTGGATGCTGCAGTGCTTGATATTTAACCTGTTCCAGGTTTGATGAGAAAGAGAGTGTGTCAAATGTGCAGCAGCTTAAGTCATCTGTCCAGAAGGGCATCAGAAACAAGATCTTAGAACTGCATCCTCATATAGAGAACTATATGGACCAGATTCTGCCAAAGAAGGAGCCTCTGAGAATACTTAAATGGTGAGGTCAATGTTGTTGCAACCAAAGTTAAGAACAAGGAGCAAAATGCTAGTCTTAATGGTTTTCTGCCAGATCGCCAGCTCTTCCAGCTAAGTGCTGTGCCTGCTGCCCACATCCGTTATGCAGTACCATGGTCTTAATAACATACTGATACATGAAATACTCATGGGCATATACACAGTATAGTCATGTTGTGCTATACATGGGCATAGTATAGTATAGTTATGATTGTCATGCATCTGTGCCTCAAACATTGTTTATTGGTAGCCCCATCCAGTAATTGTCTAAGTCTTGGGCTACAGAAGTAGTAAGAGTGGCATTTATGGCATCCTGTTCATGGTTGACGGTTACAGAGGGGTTCGCCTATGGGGCACCACAATACAATGGGTATGGACTCAGAAAATGTGTGTGCACCCAGTTGGTAGAGTACCTGTGAGTTGTGCCCTGAAAAATGTAGTAGTCCATAGGAGGAATGTGTAAATTTTCTCTCAAATGAGCTAATTTTGGGAATCCTGCTGTTTTCAGTCATGACCACATAGAGATTTTGATAAACAGCGCGGGAGACTTGTTGTTCTTCCGTCAGCGGGACGGGCCGTGGATGCCTACCCTGCGTCTTCTGCACCAGTGTAAGGATCAGCTGGTACACTCACAACAGCTACCACTGTATCGTCACATTGTTGGAACTTTTGCCGGCGCGCGTAGCAGAACCGTGACATGAATGACCTTGGTTCCAACGTCATTGGCGCCGCGTACGCTGGTGGTGACTGGTGTTTATGAAAAACTACGTATCTGGGTTACAAGACCCCTTTACTGTGAGATCGAACCCAATCGAATTGATGCATTAAAAGCAAACTTGTGTCTTGCATGAGGCTGACTTGGAGTTTGCCGCAATTTGGAGTAAACTCTTATCGGGCCGATTGGGTGAGAATGCGCGCAGCCGAGCCTGGCCAGTGGAGATGCAGGCTCCCAAACAGGCTGGGCATATCATTCGCCTTCAATTTTCTCGCACAATTGCCATCTCTAATGGCCCAGGCTGGCCCTCTTCGCGCTATCCCACTCGGACAAGAGAGGTGAAATGCACAGTGGGTTGATGACAGAATAATTGCGTTGCGGGGCACGAACCTCGAATCACGTATCAAATTCATAAAATCCCAGATGTTTACAACGTGACCTCAGCACGTTTCGACAGCGGCCATTTGGGCAGCACCTTTACCTCAAATGCTTGGTGAGCCGAATTTTGTATGATAATATGCAATCCAACGCGTGGATACATGGTGTGAGACCAAAACAAACAGCACGCAATTTCTTCCGGTTCCTGTGATCGTAGCAAATGCAATTTCACCAATACTCGACAGGAAAAAAACATTGTATCATCACATTGTGGGGGATTGACCAACCCATGTGAATGGAAAGTGCTGCTGGCAATGGTTGGGTCCGACTAACTCGGCTCATGCGGCGGGCGCTTCCGTTCGGCAGATCCGTTCCTGCTGCCGGCGCTGCAGGTGGACAAGGGCGCCATCCGTTTCGTGTTGTCGGGCGCCAACATCATGTGCCCGGGCTTGACGTCGCCCGGTGCGCGCATGACGCCCGTGCCCGAGAAGACGCCCGTCGCCATCATGGCCGAGGGCAAGCAGCACGCGCTGGCCGTCGGCCTCACCAAGATGTCCACTGCCGACATGTGAGGCTGCTGGCGGCCCTGAGGTTGACGCGGGCCCGACTGGCCGCGATCAGCTGATGTCACCTGTTGCCGCAAGGGACATCAGCTGATTGAGTGGAGTCATCGAGTGGGGCTATAAGATGGGTCTGCACAGCCTCTTTGTTGGCTGATGCGTGGCGTGAGATGGGCTCAATAAAGAGTACGGTAGTCTGCTATGGAGTGATCTGCAGATGATGGATTCTTCGGGTGCTGAAACCTTTTCGTGAAAGCGCAGTTCACAATTATGGGAAGGGGTGACTCAAATAAGTCGCTGTTTCCGTGGTGTTTGGACTCGAGAGGTGCTTGACGAAAATAGCTGTCGGATGCGTAGATTTATAATCTTTGCGGCAATCGCGGTGAAGGGTTGCATTGTGCATTAACGCAAGTATGCGTTAAAATAACAGAATTGCATGTGGCATTGCGTGCGTTTGACGCTCATGTTTTCTGTCGCGTTGCATTGTAACTGACATGCCCGTGTTTAGAATGAGTATCACAATGAGTATCGCTTTCGATATTTCTTGGTTTGAACGCCCATGTTGCCTGCTGCAGGCTAATTTGCATTCAGTTTCTTTCACTTTGTCCCCGTTTCAGCACGAAAATCAACAAGGGCATCGGCGTAGACAACTGCCACTACTTGATCGACGGGTTATGGAACATGAAGCCTGTCAAATGAGGAAAATGACATCCGAGTGCCCTCTGCACTGCCGAAGCGTCGCTGTGACGTCACTATGGCGGCAGCCTCTTCATCACCGACCTACTGCGTCTTCTGACAATGGCTGTCTCAGAAGCCGTCAACCGACCGGAAAGCAGAAGAGCCGGTTGGTTGTGACGCTGGTCTGCTACCACCGAGACCCAGCTGGTGGGGCTTGTTTTTATTTTGTGGAGAAATATTTAATAAACCGCTTGAAGGAAAGGATATTTTTGTTATGCTATATAGATATTGATTCCGAGGAAATAATGCATTGGAAGGCAGGTAACTTGATGTGATCTGTCCGCTAATGATTTGCCCGGGAGATTGGAGCGGACAACAACTATTCTCCAGATGATGTCATCCAGAAACGTCTGTTCAAGTATCGACTGACTTTCCGACTCACTCTCGGATCAGTGGGCGGGATATTATTAGGTGTAAGGCTGCAGAATTTCTCCGTTTCCAGCGTGCGGATTTCCGTTTAGTGCGTGGTACGGAATGCGTGGGCGGAGCTACTATGGAGAAAGGTACTTAGTAAAGAAACTGGGAATGTTGATAGACGTGGCAGCAAAAAGAAGGTTGATCCAATTTTGACAAGCGACGTTATATGCTCCAGCCAGCCTTTGATTATTCAAGGCTGCGGTGGTGAATGGGAGCGGCAGCCCACGTCATCTCGATTGCCTGTGCGTCCCGCAACGGGACACACCCTTTGAAGAAAAATAAAGGTTGAGCTGAGTCATTTTTAATGTGGCATTGAAATATCTAGTGCACACATTGTTCTTATTATATAATGAACCTCATCCCAAGCTTTATTGTTTGGTTTTGAGTGGTCTCGGTGGTTTGACAGTCACGCAAATTCCATTCACCATCCAGAGATGAAGAATTTAGTGCCGCTGTTCACCAAAATGGGTGCCAAGCTCACAATCAGTTCGCGACGAACGTGACGCATGAAATCACCGCTTCGCGCAGAGTACACACCCAGGCGCTCCAAGCTGTGCTTGGTATTTGGTACCGACGAGTGGGTGTACTGCCAGGGGGCGTTAAAGAGGGGAGAACCAGTTGCTGAAAACGTTCCTCGTGTGGAAACGGTCGAATTCCATAAGAGTCGCCGCTCAACTCTGACAGAAATAATTTGGGGCTGCTGTGCCCGCGTAGAATAGACCTAATCTAGGCATTGCTTTTTTACCCCAGTTGTTATAACAGGCTCGCAATATGACTGACTATGACGAACCAATATCGGACCAGGAAAAGGTGAGATGCTCCTTGATTCCTTTTGCTTATGTACATATAACATTTAATGCTTGGACTTGCTTAGATGTTTGTTTTTCAATGTTATGGCATAACTACTCCTTAGGAATGTTGTTTACAAAATAGTAAAGTGGTTAGTCTGGGAAAATTGTTGTCATAAAGGTCATTGTAACTTAACTGCAATAAAAAATGGTTTTATTCCCAGGCTTGACCAGTATCCTTCTCAAAGTGTGTGTGTGTGTGTGGAGGGGGGGGGGGGGAGGGCTGGAGCAATGCTATGGCAAGTATATGTTGCTGCAACAATTTCAGCACACATCATGAATTTAAGTTTCCAGAGTTTAACACCAGCCTGCACCAATTTCACCACAAAGAGAACATTGTGTTCATGGGAATGTTGTATGTTGTAAAGGTCCTTTCATGTTTGAAATGTTCAAAAAAAAACTTCCCCAAAATGGGGGAAAATCAAAGCAACAGTTCAGCAGAATTTGGCCGACCTGAGCTTGGCTCATGTGAGCATGGGGCACAGGCCACCAAGTTACAACCTCTCATCCATGTGTGCTGACCCACCCAACCAGATTGGACTGTGTTTTTAAACTATGACACTACATTGTAATTGTTACATATATACATACATACATATATATATATATATATATATATATATATATATATATATATATATGTACTATTATCTACATGATGTTGGCTCTGTATGCACTGAAGTTTGTGGTGACACTGTGCAGAACTTTGAGCACTATGGTTTACAATATACACATGCTGAAAATGTTGCCACAATGTTGCTGATATCCCAGACTTGTTTGACCATAACATGCATTTTTTTCTGGTTCAGACCACTGGTTTGCCAAGTGGTACCAGTTCCAGAAGTTTGCTAAGCTTCTAATGATGTGAAACTGTTTTCAGTCATGAATATGGAAGTTCATTTCTAATACCTGATTTGACTTGATATTATATTTTCAGTGGGTCATGACAAATAAATACTTACATACAGTGCTTGTTTAACCAATCAAAGTGTACCTATCACTTCTTTTAGTACCACTTATGGTAAAAAAGGGTTAGATATTAGTGGGATGTTCAGGTACTGGATATGCAATGGTTTGGACTTCTGCTTACACATCCAACCCTTTACAGGTGCGCATTGTTTCTGATTTCATTCTTCATTCCCCGCCTGGAGAGTTCAATGAAGTTTTCAATGGTAAGTGGAAATAATGAAGTAGGAAATGCACAAACCCATCTCATTATTTGCTTACCACCATGTCTCATTTTCTGGCTTGAATAATTTCTGGTTGATGGTGGTAAATGTCTATTGTGATGCTTCCTGCCAGCTTACATTTTGGGAAAGTTGCTATGTTGTGGGCTTTGGTAAAGATGCATTTAGAGAGCCATTATTGCTGTGGTGTATGCCTTGTCACAGATAACATAAGTTCTTACTTGTGTAAGATCCCACCCTCTGAACAGACCACTGACAACTCTATGATTTTCAGATGTGAGGCACTTGATCAACAATGACAATTTGCTGAAAGAGGGGGCATCAGGGTAAGGCATCTACTGCATCACTCACTGTTTGTCCTCTCAGTTGGTTTAATTTTCTCACTTGCAGCCACAATCATCCTGTAGAAATGCACCTTGACTTGGAGTCCAGCCTTTGCTGAGTTGTTTGCTTTCTGTAACAAACACATTGCACACACAGCACATGTACACTTCTCTTCTTGTTCCATAAACCAGCTGGGTGGCATCCAAATTTAGCATGAGCATGTCAGTTAGATATTTGAACTGTGTTTTAGTTAGTTGCACAAATTATCTACATACAATGTCATGCTTATGGGCTCCATTACCTGTCTGTTTGGCACTTTCTCAACTAAGGTTTGCTGGTATTGGTGGTAAAATTGCCAAATTGGTGATTTTTAGAGCAGTTTATCAGGTTATAATGCATTTGATAGTTGATAATAATATTGCACAAAACTTGAGACTTTGGGATATGTCCAGAATGATTCTTGTTCACAATAGCACAGCAAGCCACACAAAACCAACAGATAAAAAAGTGGTTGAGGAGGCAAAAAACCTGCCTCTGTGGCCTAAAGAAAAACTGCAAGGCCCATAACCCAGCAGCAGTGGTGCAAGTCCCAAAGTGAGCATATTGTTTGTCTTGAGTGAAATGGAAAAATGGAAGTGGGAAGAAAAAATGGAAATGAAATTAAAAAACTGCCACTGGCCACCTGGGGTCAACCCTTGCCTGAAGCAGTTGTGCTACACCACCCTGTGATATGTTAAACTCACTGCATTTTATCTGGCAAAAGGGTGGAGGCAAAATTATCCTTTGAACTGGATAGTGTGAGTTAGGTAATGGATTCAGGGTGTGCACAACAAGCTATACTTAGGAGATATTATGAACCCAAAGCCATACATGCAAACTATTTACAATACTTTGTAATGTTGAATAATCACTTTTGTTATATTGTAGAGTTCATGGTCTCACAGTTTTCCTCTTTGGATTGTACAGACATTGTTTGCATTGGCTGCTTTTGACCTACAGTATATGTCATCGGGGGATTGTTGCCTGAGCTTGGAATCCACTACATGTCAGTGGAATTTCAGCTAAACAGATAGGTTTGGCTGCAGCATTGCCTCATTCCAGACAGGACCATGTAGCTGCCAGCTGGCAACCCCCACATGCCAGCCTGTCTGGCCAGCTGCCAGCTGGTCACTAGATAATGGGCAGACAAAGCAGTTCACTCTCTCAGCGACCTGCATCTGGTGTCATTGGCCAACAGGTGTCAGTGCGATACCCTGTGATGACGTGGCCGGCCACCCGCTACTGAAGCGGCGTCTGCTCCGAACACTGACGGGGTGTTGGGTCTGTACGACAGCGCGTTCGTGCAGTACAACAAGGATCAGCTGACGCCCGTCCGGCTGCCTGGCGTGGAGATCCCCGCCTTCATCACCGAGTTCAACGACCTGGGCGGCTCGCGCTACTTGGACCCCAGATCAAAGCAGAGCTTCCGCTTTGACCACCTGAAGAAGGAGGCGTCGGACCTCAAGGTTTGTGTCCTTGCGACCGCAGACACCAGACGCATGGCTGCTGTGATTATGATGTGGGTTGGGATGCTTGTGATGTTGTTCACATGGTTATCAGATTTGCGTTTGTGATCGCATTCCTCTCATCGGTCGGATTCCTGTATGGGGGGGGGGGGGGGGCTGTCTTTGACAAATTTGATAGTGGCGAAGTGGATTCCCAGAAACGACTCGACTCTGCTTACCGGCGCTGATCAAAGAGCCCTGACCCAAGACTGATGATACAGATACCCTGACCAAGTTTCCTGACTCGAGCCTTGGAGGTTCCTTGACCTGGTACCCTGACATAGGTTCCCTGACCCCATAACACAGTGGAACATATGCTCGCTGACCATGTTCCCAGGCCTGAGATAGTCACCCAGGAGAGCAGCTTAAGTCCGCAGATCCAAAGCCTGGCCTTCAAGGTCCTGGACCTCTGCCTCCAGTTGATCACCCTGTGCTTGACCTGTGACCCGCGCCGCGGAGCCCTCCTGATCGCCGTCCTGTGACGGCAGCCGCACGAGGGCGACAGCGCCGCCGAGCCGTGGCGCCGGGCGCTCGAGGTCGAGATGACCGCCTACACGGACGACCACTACAAGAACGGCGCGTGCGCCGTGTTTGGCCACGCCTCCGACGGCACCATTACGCTGGTCGCCTGCATCGAGGACCATCAGTTCCAGCCCAAGAACTTCTGGTCAGTGCGGCGCCGGCTCAGTCACGTGGGCTGCCGCGGTCCGGCGCTCCGTCGGCCGCTGCATCCACTAGCTGTTTGTGGACTTACTGTGATAGGGGAAGGTTATCAACGCGCTGGAGACCCCAATGCCACGATAATGGTGCGGGGTGGGCACATACGTGGGGAGTGTTGACCGAGGTGACGGCGTTCCTGCCATGATTTTGCACGGGCGGCACTGATAACGCTGGGCGAGCCGTCGTCGCGACAGTGTGCCGCCTTAACGTCGCAGTCACTCGCGGCGCGAATGCATTAACTGGGGCTTTCTCCGATTGCCGCCACGTCTGGGGTCATGTTTGGTTGTGTCGTTATGACGTCATTGTCGGCTTAACATCGGCAATACTTAGCTTGGGGCGTCGCCGGCGGGCTGCCCCAAATCGATGTTACGGTCCCGCCGATGCTTAGTGCGCCGCTGATGAAAAGTAGCAGTAGCATTAACCTCAAACAGGTACGTTAGTTGATTAGGAAACTATTGGATATAATGTGTAGCATGCTGACGAATGATCCGGGCGTCGCACCAGCCCAACTAGGTTGAAGTCCTCATGTCTCCGTCGATGGCCTTGGGGCTCAGACTGTTGCCCCCCCCCCCCCCCGCCGACACACACACACACACCACCGCTCCCCACCGGCCTGAGACGAAGCGCGCTGCGGTGTCGCCAGGAACGGCCGCTGGCGGTCGCAGTGGACGGTGACCCTGTCGCCGGGCGGCACTGCCCAGGTCAAGGGCGTGCTCAAAGTGCAGGTGCACTACTACGAGGACGGCAACGTGCAGCTGGTCTCGTCCAAGGACGCCGAGGAGGGCGCCGTCGTGACGGTGAGCCGATGAGGCCGTGCCCCGGCCGCGCCGCCCCGTCAGCGGGCCGCGCTCGCTGCTGAAGACGCGCCGTCAGAATGCTCAGACGTGCGGACGCTCTGCGCGGAAGGCGCCCCGTCAGCGGGCCGCGCCCGCTGGTGAAGACGCGCCGTCAGAATGCTCAGGTGTGCGGACGCTCTGCACGGAAGGCGCGGCGGCGCTGGGACTCAGAGTGCAGTGGAGCGTGGTCTGGCTGGCGGGGGTCGGCGGCCGGCGCCGGCGCTGCTGATTCTGACGACTGATCGCCTCGGTCCGCGGTTTGTGGGCGTTGTCTCGTCGGGATCGTGTCCGCATGACTGCACTTGCGCCGCCTGTCGTCGCAAGTCGCGGTCAGCTCTCGGATCGAGCAAACCGCAGTCAAATCATGCTGGGATTGGTCATTCGAGACCTGATTGCCGGGCTTTGGGCGCGACGAGAGCCGGAGTGGGACTCGAGGGGAAGTGTTCTGTGTCGTCCCGGGACAGATTCGGGACCGGCTCGGTGCTCTGTTAGTGGGAATGGCACTCCGTCCCGCGAAATTCAAATTAAGCTGAGTACATACGTCCGCTGAGGTGATGCAACTGGAGCTCTGCGTGACAGGCTGCTCTGTGGTTTTTCGCATGAGTGGTAATATGTGTGCCGTTTGTGCCTTGGGAATGGCCCACTGCGGCGCGTTGGTGTCTGGTCATCGGTCACGTGTTTGATATTCGTTACAGGTGGGTACTTGCCGTGTAACCTGTGTGCCACGCGAACGGTGCACCATATTAAGGCTGTGCTTTGTGGAAAGGATGCAGTTGGCTCTCATCAAAAGGAGATGCAGTTAAATAACTTATGGAATAGGGCGCTGGTCGTGAAAACGAGGAGACGTTGTGTGCTTCAAAAACAGTTTTTTTTTCTTCGCTCCAACAGTTTTTAAATCGAGGTGAATGTTGTCATGCATACGTGGATTGCGCCGCGCTGCGCGATGCCTTTACGACATGAATACCTACCTCCCCTCACGCTGGCACGGCACGCTGCTTCCCTGTATCCCAGCCTTCCTAATGTAGCAGATCAGCGGAGCATAACAGACGTCCGGGTGTGGTGAAATCAACACTTTGCTTGTTGAGATGCTGCAGCACGAATAGCACACAGCGGGAAAAGTACATGAATAGTATATGAATCTACTACTATATGCATATATATATATATATATATATATATATATATATATATATATATATATATATATGCTATAAATACTGCTATATATACTACCATATATACTACCATATATATGTATATAAATAACTATAAAATAAATAATAATTGTGTAGAATAGTATATGAATCGGGAGGCCCAAAAAACGTTTGAATGTGCAACTAGAAATAACTTATTGTCAAGCCGTTTACATGAATGGTCCGCCACAGCGTGCTCATGTTGAATAGGTGCGCGGCTGTGTGGTTTTGTGTCCCGAGGTGCCTGTTCATGTCCCGCGAGCCGCTGCTCAGTGTCCAGGTTTTCCGTTCAGAGAACACCAGCAGGAGGGACCTGGTCACGCCTGAGTGTGTATGTGTTCCGTGCGCGCAGACGGAGTCGCAGACGGCCAAGGAGGTGGTGCGTCTGATCGAGACGTCCGAGAACGACTACCAGACGGCCATCTGCGAGAACTACCAGACCATGTCGGACACCACCTTCAAGGTGGGGATGCGCGCGACGCGGTGTCGCGGTTTTCTGAGAACGGCTCTTCCCTCCATTCCGCCATGCGCTCATGCAGGACAGCGGAACACACGACCACCGGGCGAGGAATGGTACCGAGCGTGGCGCTGGTGGAGGCGTTGTGCGACGCAGGCTCCCGATGTCGCTCCCGAACTCCTAGTTTTTGGTCAAACGGCCCTGCACTGCAAGTACTGTCTTTTGCGTCTATTTCGGGGCCGAAGGGGGTTGCTACCGTCATGGTTCGCCTTGCGATATTTCCGTGGTGTTCGCTGCCCAAAAGGAGAATGCGAAAGTCGCATCCTGCTGGATCTTTCATATGCATGGATCGATTCGGAGAGTTACGCAGTTATTGCTATGCAACTGAAAGCTTGCAACTTGAAACGGACACGTTGACATCCATTTTCAGGTCAACGTCCAGCTGAGTGTGATCACAGCAATGAGGCTCATGACCAAACCCATAGTGTACCATGAGTCATATTTATCACAGCCCGCTCTCCCGCTCACATGCCACGACCCGACTCCGTATCATGGCACCATTGTTGTCATTCAACTCTATGTCGCTGCCAGGCTCTCCTACGTCTGCACCATAATCCAGCTTTGTAACTATCAGTATGCTTCTCCTATATAGTACCCTACCTCTGTATCAATACCGTACCCCTGTATCAGTACACGCTCCTGCATCAGTACCTTACTCCTGTAGCAGTACCTTAATCATGTGCCAGTACCTTACTCCTGTATAAGTACCCTACTCCGGCATCAGTGCACTCCTGTGGCAGAGCACTGCTCCTGTATACTGACCCTACAGCTGTAGGGTCAGCATACAGGTCCATTTCATTACCCTGTCAACACACTACTTATGTATGGTGGCCCTACCCCCTGCGCGTGTCGTAGCGCCACCCCGTCCGCGTCGTGACGCTACCCCGTCCGTGCCGTGACCAGACCCTGTCTGTGCGTTGCCATGGTGACGGGTGGGACGCGTCTGACCGCCGTCCTCCGGCAGGCCCTGCGCCGCCAGCTGCCGGTGACACGCTCCAAGATCGACTGGGGCAAGATCATCCAGTACGGCATCGGGCGCGAGCTCAAGCAGCAGTGAGCCCGGCGCACCTGTGATACAGGGCCGCAGGGGGACGGCCCCACCATGTTGACGAGATGTGTAACCAAAGCTTGCGCGAGCGCGCGCGCCGCCGCCGCGCTCCGGGCGTTGGATTTTGTAGTCTGTTCACGGTTGGGTCAGCTCTGCGTGGCGCCCGGTGGCTGAGCCGTTCGGCACCGGCGGGCAAGTGGTATTTACTCTCTTCGAGTCTGTCGAATTATTATTAATACATCCACCCACTGCTTGTACGGACACGGTCGGTGTTGCGTTTGGAAGGAGCGCCGCGCGGAGGGCGGCCAGCATCACTGCACGAGAAGTGTGCTGAGTGGTTCGGTGTCGAGGTCGGCGACTTTGGTTCACATCAATGCGAGGATGCAAGGCAGTGGGCATGCGCGTAGCGACGGGAAAAAAATATTCGATGGCTGTTAAGGTTTAGGTGGCTGCAGCACACCTCGGGCTACATTATGGTACCAGGCCAAAAACGTTACGCAGCTCGATCAGTTGCAATGGGCAATGAAATACGTCGCCATTAATTTTCTTCTATTGTACAAGCGAAAGTGAGGAACATTGAACCAAGGTTGGTTGCGGAACGTCCCGTGTGGTGTTGGGTCGCTCCTGTGTGAAGCACGTCAATTGCTCCATTAAAATCATGGGAAGGTATTTCTGGCTGACATTTTTTGCACGTGCTCACATGGCCCCCTTTTCCGGTGATACTCGAACTGTCGCCCTAACACAATATGTTGATGGAGTTTGGGCGTAATTCATTTATAATGAGAACGTTGGGTGTGTTCTGCCGGCAGCTAATCTCGGATCCCGTAATGTTAGAAAATTCTCAAGAATGGCGTTTGGCGCTAATAACGCGGATAGTTTTCACAAATAATCATATTTAGTCACATATAATTATCAAATGATTACCGCAAATTGCCATCCGTGCTGAGTGAGAACCGATAACTTCGGACCACGGGCAAGTCTGATGTCATTTTTTGTCATGCCCTGCCATGATCGTCCAATATGCACGGTGCGTGTGGGCAAAACCGAGGGATAATTTCCAGACATGCCGAATGTGAACGAAGAATTTTCGTGGAACATTATGACAGAGATGATAATTCGTCAAATAACTTTCCATCGGCCGAATACGCTCGCTCACGCTGTAATATTTCCTTGACTGCATGCCTTAGACAGGAGCGGAACCTCCTTTGTGAGATGCAATGACCAATGACGCGGGGACGGGAAGGCAAAAGCCGGATTTTAGACAGTTCTGGGTATTTTGATAGTTTAGTACGTTTTGACAGGCTTTTAATGTGTTTGTTCTTGTCTCGATCTGCCCCCAAAAAAACTTTAGGTAAACCGGTTCACCAAAATCACGGAGGCTTTGCGATCAATTATGACTGTCATGCAGTGCACAGCTCCCAGAATAACCAAAATCCAACTTTGGAACGGTCCATCGGAAAACATCGGCCTTTTAGCCTGCCGAAACGGACAACGCTACTTCACCGCCATCCATGCAGCTAACTTCAAACTATGGAACTACCCGTCAGATTTTCTCCAAAACATCACCAATCGAAAGCCAGTATACAGTTTCATGTGCGGTTCTAAAACAGGAGACTCCAGGTCACCATCTTCACTTTAAAAAAACGTATAAACCACTTTAGGGTATTGCAGCCAAGTCAAACTCCGAAACCACTCAACCGATCTGCTTGAAACTTTTGCCAGAAATAGAGCGCATGCAATTTAATCAGCCGTTTGGAAGCTGGTGACCTCAGGTCACCATCTGAACCTTCAAAAACCGCATTAAACATTCCAGGACATGGCAGCAAATCCAAACTCGGAAACCACCCAACCAACCTGCTTACAAGCCTACCAGAAAATGGAAAGAATGCGACGTCATCAGCTATTCTGAAACTGGTGACGATCTGCACCTTTTAAGACCACCTAAGCCGCTTTAGGGCACTGCAGTCATGTCTAAACTCGGAAACCATTCAACCGATCTGCTTAAAACCTCTACCAGACAATAGAAAGGATGCATTTTCATCAGTTGTTCTAAAACTTGTGACCTCAGGTCACCATCTTCACCTTCAAAAACCGCATAAAACACTTAAGGACATGGCAGCAAGTCCAAACTCGGAAACCGCCCAACCGATCTGCTTGAACCATTTACCAGAAGATAGAGTGCATGCGGTCTTATCAGCCGTCCGGAAACTAGCGACCTCAGGTCACCATCTTCACCTTCAAAAACCGCATAAAACACTTGAAGGAATTGCAGCCAAGCCCAGCTCGGAAACCGCTCAACTGATCTGCTACAAACCTTGACCAGAAGAAAGAGCGTGTCGATTTCATTACCCTGTCTGAAACTGGTGACATCAGGCTACCATCTGAGGGCATTGCAGCCAAGTTTAAACTCGGAAACCACCCAACCGAGCTGCTTGAAACCTTTACCAGAGGATAGAGAGGATATGATTTATCCAGCCGTACTAAAACTGGTGACCTCAGGTCACCATCTTCACATTAAAAACCGCATAAACCACTGTGGGGTACTTTTAGGGCACTTTAGGCCAAGTCCAAACTCAGAAACCATTTAAGCGATCTGCTTGAAGCCTTTGTCAGAAAACAGATAGGATGCAATTTCATCAGCAGTTCTAAAACAGGTGACCTCTGGTCACCATATTCACCTTCAAAACCTGCATAAACCGCTTTAGGGCAATGCAGCCAAGTCCAGACTCGGAAACCGCTCAGCCGAGGGTGATAAAGGTTTCAAGCAGATCGGTCGAGCAGTTTCTGAGTTTGGGCTTCACTGCCATGCCTTAAAGCGGTTTAGGCGTCTTTTTAATGCAAAGATGGTGACCTGGGGTCACCAGTTTCCGAACGGCTTATGACATTGCATGCGTTCTTGAGGTCACCGGTTTCAGAACAGCTGATAAAATTGCATGCGGTCTATCTTCTGGTAACAGTTTCAAGCAGTTTTCAAGTCAAGCAGTCGAGTGGTTTCGAGTTTGGACTTGTCTGCAATCTTCTAAAGTGGCTTAGGCGGTTTTTGAAATCAAAGATGGTGACCTGGCTTCACCAGTTTCAGAACGGCCGATAAACCCACACATTAGCTTTCGATTGGTGCTGGTTTGAAGACAGTCTGACCTGTAATTCCGTAGTTTGGAGTTGGGTGCAATGGATGGCGGTGAAGTAGTGTTGTCCTGCCGAAACCACAGCAGCTGTATTTTCCGGAACCGTCAGCTGATGATCGTTCGCTACTAACGCGGCACTTATTTTGCCGCTCCGTATATGCACGCAAAAGCAGAAAATATCTCGCGAAGGCGAGGCGGCTGAGCGTCCGAGCTGTGCGTTGTTGAACATTGTCTGATGTCTGTCGACAGATCCCTGTAACTCGGGTGCAGATTCACTTTCTGTCTACGTGTGATCAGCGATATAGAAGCGAAGAGTACACTGGATACCCGTTACATTCATAGCCCGTTGATCGCCGGCCGTGTCGAAGAGCTCAAGGCTTGCGACCAGCAAGCGAGCAAGCAGCGTTCCACGTACGTGATTCAGTCTAGGAACACGTTTTCCTTGGAAAAAAGTGCAGGACGAACTTGATTGTTGGAACCTGCACATTGGAACTTCAAGATGGCCATCGAATTGAGTGCCTACCGAGATCAGCATTTCAAGGGATCACGCCAGGAGCAAGAACGACAGCTGAAAATGTCCACAACCCTCTACATTGGAAACATGTCCTTTTACACCACAGAAGAGCAGATACATGAACTTTTTTCAATGTGCGGGGATGTCAAAAAGATTATTATGGGCCTGGACAAGTTCAAGAAGACTCCCTGCGGTTTCTGTTTTGTTGAATATTACAGGCGCCAAGATTTGGATAACGCAATGCGGTTCATCAATGGCACAAGATTGGATGACCGTGTGATCAGGACAGATCTTGATGCAGGATTTGTGGAAGGGAGACAGTACGGTAGAGGAAAATCTGGTGGACAGGTGAGAGACGAGTACCGTGCAGACTATGATGTGGGACGTGGGGGCTATGGTAAGATCATCCAGCAGAAAGCAGGAGTGGATCTTGTTGATGCTTGAAGCCTTACATGTTTTTGAAAGCTTTGATGAAACAATTTGATGTGGATGTAATTTACAGGTGAATTGTCAGCTTCTTCATATTCAGCAACTCAATGTGCAGAAAGGTATTTGCAGACCAGTTTCAAAGTGATGATGAAGTTATGGTTGCTAGGATAAAGGAAGCTTGCATTTGTAGTTGTCTGCCAAAACTTGTCTGCTGAAACCATGCCATTTTCCTAATGTTTCTGTCAAGTTGTGTATTGGTTTTGTAATAAAGTGTGACAATATTTGTTGCTGTTTATGAAGACAATGTGTTAGAAGACTGTGAAACACAAGATAGCTCACATGATTGGGTAGCCAAAGTGAGCATTATCTGGGTATAAGCCTATCTATCAGCAAATGTATGTGATGTACTGAAGGTACAACTGCAAGTCAGGTTGGTGATATACTTGGAATCAGTACTACAGTCATTGTTCAGATTTGTCATGTATTTCAAGATATCAGTTTTTGCCTTGTTTCATAGCTTTCACTTGGCACATTCAAATTTCATGCAAAATGAGTGGATGTGAAATCACATATATTTGTTCAGTACTTTTAAGATGTCCTCCCCACCCTCTGACCAGCCTTCTGTGGCATGCTCTTTGAGCTTGGCACCAGTGACACAAGCTGTGGTAACCCCCAAATATTATAATGCAGCTCCTGAGTGTGGGGAGAGATAATTGTTACAAACATCTTTCCTTAACATTTGGGTAACTTAAGGTGGATCCTTGGTACTTTGTGTGTTCTTTGGTACTGGTGTGTTCTTGTGATCTTTAGTACTTTGCAGAACAAATGTGTTCCAAATAGCTTGCAGAGAGTCTCTGGGTTCAACATACCTTGCTACATATACCATGAACTGACTGCCCAAGCCGTGCCACAGAGTTCAGCAGACATCTTTGCCTCCACCTCTTTGCCAGACAAGAATGCGAAGGGTTTTACATACTACACAATGCCGGCACATTTACCTCAGGCCTACATTGGTCCCTACTGGCCAGCTGTCAGCTGACTATTTCAGCCAGACTTAACAATGTGCCCACTCGGGGATCGTACCTAGTGCCGCTGGTTACATGTCCAGTGAATTTCCCCAAATCATGGAGACAGCAAAGTATGAGAAACAGTCAGATCTGCCCAAAAGGTACAGGGCTCAGGACTCCAATGACTAGAGAGAGCAGTGCGTTCAAGCAAGTAAAAACTCATCCATATGTTTGTCTGTGACGGTCACGCTGTCAGGGAGCACGCACTTGTCCATTAACCGACTTAACTTTGCTGACGGTTGTGCCCTTCATCAGCTTATGCTGTACTTGTGGCCTTGTTTGGACACGCTTCCCGATGTCACTTTCTGCGACGTTACCGCGTTGATCCTTCCCGTTCCGGAGCTTTTCTAAACCAGGTGGGAAATTTGGGTAGACCTCATATATTAGTAAAGGTGCTTGTGGCAAACCGGTGTCAGCCCAATGCAATGATTATGAGGGTACTCCGGAACCGGTAATATGAACCAACGCAAATGACAAAAGCACGCCTCGCTGAACAATCCACTCCCACAAGAATCAATGAAACACACAATTCTGCCGTGCAAAGGCGAAACCACGTAAGCCCGATCCCGGGAGCATGCTAATTGTGACGTGCGAGGATTAGCCTTCGCGCGGCAGAACAAGATGCGTGCACGGGGAACCGTCGTGCCTGCGCCACCGCAGCGCTTAGTGGGCCGCAGGTATGCACCATGACACAGAATACGCTGTGGTGTTTCTCCTGAACTGTTAAGCATACTTTGAACGCGCAATATCCTGACAGGTGTCGCACCGGACATGCCCATCATCCGTCCTCGCCTGACCTGCCCCCCCCCCCCCCCGTCTTAATCCCACTTTTTGAACTCCATGCCGTCGGGCGACTTGATCTCGGTCTTCTTCTTGCCGATGTCCTGCCAGTTGGTGCTGAGCACGGTGCCGCCCGACTCGGTGAAGCTCTTCTGCATCGCCTTCTTCACGTCGTCCGAGCCGTCGGCGTAGATCTTCTGGAAGAGGCTGTTGAGCGCCTCCTCGCCCTCGGGCTTCTCCTGCTCCTCCTGGCGGCGGATGTCGGCGGCGATCGCGTCCCAGTCGCGGCCGCCCGGCGCCGAGCTGGTGTAGGCCGGCGGCAGCTGACCGGCCGCCGGCCGCACCGACGGGGCTCGGCCGTCCCCTTCCAGCGTCGACCAACGGTGCGCCTCCTCTTTGTGCAGCTTCACCTCCAGCTTGCTGGCAAGCACGCGCCACGACGAGCGCTCGGGCAGCACCGGGTGCAGCAGGTCCAGCTCGAGGCTGTACTCGCTGCCGGACGGCAGACGCGCCGACACGCTCAGCGCGGTGGCGGTGATGGTGACGCTGACCGCGTCGGCCGGTAGCCCCTTGGCCAGCACGTTCACCACCACGTCCTGGTCCGTCTGGTACCAGTCATGCTTGATCTGGGCGCGGTCGCCTCCAGACATCGCCACCGCACTGCCGACAGCCTGAAACCAAGCCTGGGATACTGAAGCGTCATGGTGGGGGGGGGGGGGGGGGGGGGAATGGATGCTCAGTGGGGGCCAAGTCGTCAGTTCCATGCCTTGAAAATCCAAAACCTTATCGGTAAAGAGTGCGGATACTTTTTGAGAAAGGGATAACAAGATGCATGATGTGGTGTACACTCATGGCATGCTCGCGACTGTCCTAGATGGCACGCGGCCCTACTAACACCCACGGGCTGCTGACACGTGGCACACCCTGAGAGGAGGGGGTGGAGTCCCCCATCTCTTAACGCGGAGTAGGCCCCTTCCCCTCCCCCATTCCCACCCATACACCCCTATCCCCTCACCACCATACACACTGTCACTTTTACTCACTGCCCCTCTTGGTGCTTTACTGGCACTCATGTCATTTCCATGACAACCCATGCACACAGACATGGCCTGTGAGTTCCCAACATTGATCCCTTCGTGCAAAGGGGCTTCGGAAAAATTCAGCGTTTCACGTGCATTGAAGTAAACCAAGAGTTCCACCTTCTGAGCCTACAGTATTAGCTGTTGCATATAATGCAAAATTACACCTTGGTGAGGCTTCAGCATGCCATGTTTGCAGTCAAATCCCAGAAAATCTAGGAAGGAGCTATTAAAGTCTGCTAAAAATGGTGGGCTGCTAAGACTAGGGTAACTAGCTCTGGGCTTAGTCTCCTCCCCCTGTCAAAATGATGTCTGTGGATGCTACAGACCATGGTGCAATGGGGATTCAAGCCTGGGTATCTCATATGAGTCAGAAGATTCCACCCATTTGATGCCCAGATGCCCATGTATGATACCATATGTGCATACATATACTTATGTAAATACACATACATGCATAGATCAAGTTACCAGTTACAAAGCTAGGACAGATTGGACAAGTGTTACCCAGTGGGCTCTACCACAGAGGGGACAAGCCCTCCTCTCCCCCAACTAACATAATGCAATACATATGTATGCCCAGAAATTTGTAGAAGAGGATCATCTCAAAACTAAAAATATTTCCCCCTTTTGTGGTACCATAAGCTCTGCATGTGGAAAGCGTATTAGGGCTTGGCTACAGCTACGGGGCCTCCTACACCAATCAATATTTTTAAAACCCTGGGACACTTTGAAAAACATACTGAACACATATATTTTTGGTCTCAAGCACACGGAAATCACCTGTCTGTCCTATATACAGTTCAACCTAATTTTGTTTTCAGGTGAGATTGCTGTAATGCTTGCTGAAGGCCTTAGCCAGTCACCAGTTAAGCACAATAATCCTTTTTGAGCACTGGCACAACATTTTGAGGTCGAAAAAATACAGGTTCATGGAAGGCCAGATATTAGTACATCAGGGTATGTGACACATTTAAGTACAGGAATTCACACTTTGGGTTGGTAGATATATGGAGAATACCAAGCATCAGTAGTAGCTTGGTACAATTAGGTGGTTTGATAGTGTCATGCACATTGGTTGTTCAGGTTATTGATGTTAGGAATTTTGATTTATTCTCTTCAGAAGTTAAACAGCATGGTTCACAAAGTAAAGCAACAATTTCCCCAATGTGTGCATACATTTTTAAATTTTGCTGGTAGGTATTCTCAATGTAATATTTAGTTTCCAGTAGCCTTAAACAATGATTTTGATCTTGTACCAACATGTAGAATATCCTAAAGCCCATCCTCCTCATAATGCATATGAAGTTATCCTTCAAAAAGCCTCTAATACTTCATCTTAAATGAAACTTACATCTTTAACCAAGCTCACATCAAATCCCATTGCACACTGACACCTCAACCTCTAAACTCAACCTTTCACAACTGGTTTGCTTTGAATGTGTGTTTTGAGGAATGGCTGTGGCTAGAATACATGAATATTCGTTTCTGTGGACCAATTCACACTAGCACGGCGCTAGCGTTGTTCTAATTTCCATCTGCCTATGTCAGTGTTTCTCAACAAATTAGCGCCGCCTATATTACGTTCGTTTCCAAAACCAGCTTCCAGCCACTTACCCTGTACAGCTTCACCCAAAACCTTCCACCCAGTCGGCAAATCAGCCTTCCCAAAATCTACGTTGATTCGCAAACACTTTCTCACCTTAAATGACCGGAAATTCCTTAGTTTCTGGGACCTTCCCCACGGACCGTCCCCTCCTCGCGCCTGCCGAAGTCCGAGGTCCAAGTGTTTTGGGTTCTTTGCGCTCTTGTCACTGCTGCGCAGGCTTTGTGTGAAGTGATTTCTTCGTGATAACATTTTTGTTCGAAATAAAAATGCAGAATTCAACACCAGGATGGGGTCGTCGTGTTGAATACTTATGTCGAACTTTGCTTTTTCATGTCTGTAAAATTTCAACACTTGTGTTCCTCATCACTCATCTGCTTCAGCAAGTGAACGTGCATGTAGGTAAATACTATTTTTGGGGAGCAGAGAAATTAAAGCCTAATTTGGTAGTTATTTGGACTGAGTTGAATACATTGGTTGAAATGAGGCACCTTGGGGTGCATTACCTTGGTTAGGTAAAGTGGATATGTGTTTGCACTGGGTACTCTAGGTTAATGAAATCCTGACTGACTGAGCATTTGGTGTGGAAGGGAGATCAGGGCTGTTTGTGAATGTTTGTAGGGGTTGGAAGTTTCTTGCGTGTAATGAAGGTTGGGGTGTTAGTCCCTGACATGAATATAGGTATTTTGAAGCTTCCAGCATAAGGATTGGCCTCCATTTGTTTTGGAGCCAGTTAGACCCAGACTGATGTTGTGGAGCCCTGTAATAATGTGATGGTTGGTTTGTAGATCCTATTCATGCTGAGGACACAACTCCCTCAACTTTGAGAAGGGTATGGGGGTCATGCAGGGGAGCAACACATTTGTGAATAATTTGGGAGGTTGAGCTAGCTTTTTTCTTGCCCAATACCCCTAAATTAATTTGCAAAACTTAACATATGGCTATGTATGTTAATGACATTGGTCAGATTTGAGCTTGCTACCTTATTTTTATCAGATTAGACAGCACATTAGTCTCAGCCCATAGTTATCTACCAGTGTGCAAAAGCACAATCCACCATACTAGGTCCTCACACAGCCTCATTGTCATGAACCTAGCATACTTGTCAGCAAAAAAGCTCAAGCTAGTCCAAAATTCTCTGCATTTTCTTTTTTGTTAGCATTTAATAGTGTTTTATAAGAAAAGGTCCATAAGGACCTGTAGGGCCCTGATCAGTGCTGCTCCTAGAGATGCTGTGCTGATGGTTCCTCAGGTGCCTCAAAGAAATAAGATCATTAGCATCCACATTGTGGTTATCTGGCCTGTTCCACTAGATTCCAAGTGTCGTAAAACTTGTCAACACGTTTTTTACATAGTTGTGCTGGGATATAACCTTGTTTTGGAAGCCTGTTCTTTTAAATAATCTTTTCAACATCATGATTCCTGGAAACATTAGATCACTATGCACTGAATTTGGTGGTGACGGTTTGCTAAACTCTGAATGCTGGGATTTATTATGCATATGCGCTGATATTGTTCATGCTTTGCCCCTGCTATGCTATATAGACTGACCTCATTCACTCCATTTGTTTGTGCTATTTTGAAATAACCAACAGCCTGTCTTGCAAATAATTTCTTTTAGTGAATTCCAAAGATATGATCAGTCACATTGATGTTCACTTGCACACAGTTATGAACCAAGTGGGAGGTGTATTTCAAATGTCATATAAGGGATGCCATTTGTTTTTTACAGAGCACTGAAAATGGCAAATGTTACAGCGAAATAATCAAAAGGTTATGTGGCTTTCTGTGGCAATCAGATACTAGCGCATTTATATTTAGCCAAACATTGAAAGTGATGTGTTCTTAGCAGCAGGATTATGAATCATTGCTTGCTTGTTGGGGAATTAGAACAAATTTTCCATGCTGCTGCTCTTTTAAGAGATAAAATTTGTAGACATTGTTGAAGCAAGCTAATGACAGTCACCTTATTGCTGTTTAGGACTGGTCATATAATGTAACCTGTCATGTGATCTTCATTATTTGTGTTGCTGTAACATTCCTCAGCATGCACTGGTAATGCAATTAGAGTATCTCATCCATTTGGATTTGAGAAGGCTAAAATCGTAGAGTTGTGTCCAAAAACATGAAGAAATTGCCCAGTTTCACATAGTGACAAATTTGGTGTGACCATCCCCAAACTGTGACATCTGAGTTGTAGCTCAACACTCAGATACATCCCTCATCTGTACTGAAATTCATGATTAAGTAATTAAGTAAGATTAATTTAGTAATTAATTAATTAAGTAAGACATTTCTAGGCTCAGGAGTCTGACAGTGTTGACTCAGAAATTTGGTTTTAAAACACTCCCTGGAGAGCAAATATATCAAAGTATGATGAGTTCTACAAAATAAAGGCATTTTTTAAGGCCTTAGCTCCTCCAGTCAGCACTGCCAATGCCTGTCCTTCACTTGACATTTTGTATCAGCTCTGGTATGCATGTTCACAATTGCAAACTGTCTTTTAGTATGGCATTGTTTGTTGGTACCTGGTGTTATCTTTTGCAGGAAAGACAAAGTGAAATGGAAATTTTATAGAGAAAGAGGCAGCCTCAGTATAGACCCACTAGTATCATGACAATTCTTCCTTGCAAGCCAAAATTGCACGTGTGAAGTTTTTCCAACATTTAGATATATGTGGGGTTTTTCTTACAAATTGAAAGACAGTTAATATTTGCACATTTCCATGGTCTCATGTTTTGTCTGCATGTATTGCAGGCATGTCACTGACCATGCAGCACATCATCAGTGATGCACAGACACTGTGCACAAGGCTCAAAGACCATGAATCGCTGGCAGACAGACTCATATCACAGGCTCAATCCCTCTACAAGCAAGTGGATGCCATGAAGCAGGTAGTTCCCTTCATCCATTGTGTACTTTGGTGATGCAACTTAAGACAATTTAACTCCATGTTGTGTTCTTTGACATTTTGCTTGGGCAGGGTTTTAAAAATAACCTTGTTCAGCTGGGCAAGGCATGACCTGGTTTGTGTTCTTTGATGTTGTGGTTGTATTGTGCATTGTGTTGTTATCATGTCCCATTGTACTCATCTTCATTCAATCCTGTTCATTGTCCAGGGAATATATTGAAAGGTGGTGTTTATGTAGTCAATATAGGTACGATATAGGTGTCTGTCGGTTCAAAAGACATAGTACATACACCCACTTTTGCTGATGTCACACCTTCTTCCCATGCCCTGCAGTAACACCCTCTGTATTGCCAGTATGAAGAGGAAGTAGGGCAGCTGAACGAGGTGGCGCACCAGAAGCCACGCGACGCGCTCGTCCAGGGTATCCAGCAGGAGAACCGGCACCTGCGCGAGCTGCAGCAGGTAGGCATCTCACAGGCTGGCAGAGACTGGGAGCAGTGCATGCTGGCCGCAGCCACAGCTGGTGCTGCCCCAATTGGTGCAGCCTATTGGCCACAGCTGGGATGCTTTTTGGTTGTCTTGTGTTTCAGGAACATGATTAAGTGACATTGATGTGGCAGATTATGTGGCGTCACCTGCCTCTCACGCTGGCAGGAAGGGCGGGAACGGTGGGGAATCGAGCCCCGTACCTCTGATTTTGCAGACGCGCATCCTAAGCACTATATCACCGGCACCCTGCATCTCGTGCCACCAATGTGCCCGGCATGCCGTCAGTGGACTATAGTTCCCATCTTTGTTCATTGCTTTACGACAGTAATCAGAATGACAGGACACATTACAGGCATGTCATCCCCAACAAATGCATGCCCAATGTTGCAAAGACTGGGTTGATTACTTTTGCCTTGCAGTTGTGTCGTTCTTGTTCGTCTGTGTCGCCTTCCTTTGTCAACTCGAATAATTCTAAGCTATGGCTAATAGTTAAATTTCACCGATGCTTGAAATTAGCCGTTGCATCTCCGCATGTTAAGTTTAATCATGCCATGTGAAGAGTTAACCTTACCCTGTTGTAAGCTCGAAGTAATCCGGCCATCTGAGAGCGGACTGACTGGAGTGTTTTCAGGAGAACAAAGACCTGCGCAACTCGCTGGAGGACCACCAGAACACGCTGGAGTTCGTCATGTCCAAGTACCGGAAGCAGGTGACCCAGCTGATGGAGATGAACAAGTGCGACCGTGACGTGGGCCGGACACAGGCCGGCGGCGCATCGTCGCACCAGGTGGGGAGCGTGACCCGGGTCAGCCAGGGGCACGCCACTCGCCCGTGATGTGACCAGCAGCGAATCCAGCCCGGAGCCGCCCGTCACCGCTGGTCCGAGACCGCGAGACCGGGTGTGGGTCCGAGACCGCGAGACGGGATGTGGGTCCGACACCGCTAGACAGGGTGTGGGTCCGAGACCGCGAGACGGGGTGTGGGTCCGACACCGCTAGACAGGGTGTGGGTCCGAGACCGCGAGACCGGGTGTGGGTCCTGCACCGCTATACAGGGTGTGGGTCCGAGACCGCGAGACCGGGATGTGGGTCCGAGACCGCGAGACGGGATGTGGGTCCGACACCGCTAGACAGGGTGTGGGTCCGAGACCGCGAGACCGGGTGTGGGTCCGAGACCGCGAGGCGGGGTGTGGGCCCGAGACCGTGAGATCGGATGCGGTGCCACTGTCTAGTGTCGGCCCCCGGAATGACCCCGGTTTCAGCGTAGCACCGTCGACGTTAAGAAACCCCTGGTATGGGCGTTGTATGCGGTAGTGACTCCTCTCGGTGTTCGCCTGATTCGCGCGGATGGCGCGACGTTCTGTTGGCGTAAGCTATGAACTGGCCGGCCGTGCACTGGCTCTGAGCCCGACATCTCATCGGTCGGCGCGTGGTCAGCCGATACCATGTGATGGCTTCGAAGGGGTGGTCCGCTCTGACCCTGTGCCGATTTGCCACGGTCTGGGGTGCCCCTCCGACCTCGCGCCGACTCTTGTGACCGCCGCCAGACGGTCGACGCCGCGCTGCTGGAGCTGCAGGCGGAGAAGATTCACGAGATGGCGCTGGTGATGCGCCGCGCCGTGGAGCTGGACGAGCAGGGCGAGCACCGCGCCCAGGAACGTATCGCCCAGCTCTGCGAGGAGAACAGGGTGCGGACCAGCGACCGGTGGCGTGCTTCACTGTGGTTGTGAATCTGCACGTTGCCGCGTTACGCAGGGGCACACTCAGTCACGCACCATACACGATTGTGTGCTTCGCAACGCAATGGAGCTTGTTTAGCATTGGTGCAGAGGTGTGCGCATGGCCGTTGCTGCGGTAAGTTTCGGTAAATCATCATAAGCAACTACTGTGGTATATTACAGCAGCTATACAAGGAGCACAGTAAAATGGCATCATATCTCCGTTCGTGTGGTGTTGCAGTGCTGTTCCAAGTCATTCAGGATGTGCCGCGCGCAGAGCTCGGATGCGGCGTAATGCGCAAATTCGTGCGTGTTGTGGCTGGAGGCTGGTCAACGTTGCCGCGTTACGCCTTTCTTGTAGAAGTCTTTCAGTATCGAGTGGACACAGGATACTGCTGTCCCATTGTAATACATGTATTCGCTTATATCCCCGTTGGCACTAGCTTGTATAGGTTTCTGAAAGTAGTTTCCACTACGAACTAGATAGGACTTGCCATGAGAATATTTCCAAAAAAGCGTGCCTTACGGACCATTCGTCTTTTTTGTGTGCGAGCGCACTATTTTTGTTACAAATTACAAGTAATTCTTTCGTCGGAAATTTTAAGTAATCGTGCTGCTTTTGCTGACGTCCGTTTGTATGTGCAGGCCGTGTTTGTAAAGATCCGGCTGTGCAGCCTGGGGATGTGGTGGTGTCTCGAATTGGCTACGTATGTACAAAGCAATGACCGCTGACGGCATGGGGATATCGAGTCACCACCGTCTGATTACGCAATATGGTGTAGGCTTGCCGGTTTCTGAAGCTGTCCTTACCATTGTGGAGCCGTGGGGGATCAGTGCCTCATGCACTGCACCATAGCCGCTGTCTGGCTCGCGAGACTTTACCGCCAGCCGCCGGTGTCTGACGTCGTCCCGTGTTCGGCAGGGCCTGCGTGAGGTGCTGCGCGTCGGCTACAGCTTCAACGGCGACCTGATGCCGGCGGCGGCGCTGGGCGCGCTGCTGCCGGCCGCGGCCGCCTCCCCGAGCGGCTCTGCCGACGCGGCGAGCCCGCAGACGGCGCGCCGCGACCCGTCCTCCAGCGCCAGCTCGCCCGCCGCCAGCCCGGGCTCGGTGGGCGAGCCGAGCGGCTTCCAGACCGTGCGGCGCCGCGCGCCGGCCGCGGCCCCCGCCCCGGAGCGCGTGGACGTGGGGCGGGACGGCGCCGGGCCGGCCACGCCGCCACGACCGCAGCCGCCGCCGCAGCAGCAGGCTGTGCAGAAGCCCGCCCAGCAGTCCACCCAGCAGCAGCAGCAGCAGCCGAAAGAGCCGAAGGAGAAGTCTGCGGAGGTGCCCCAGCTGAAGCCGCCGCCGCAGCCCGCACCGGTCCAGAGCGCGGCGCCCAAGCCGGCGGCGGCGTCGGTGGGGGTGCCACCCGTGCCCTCCAGCTCGCCTCCCAAGCTGCCCGCGCTGGCCCACCGAGCCGCCGGTGCTCCGGGCAAAGCGTCGCCGCCGGCCGCTGCCGCTGCGGCGCCGGCCCAGCCACGACCCACGGCGCCGGCCGCCGCCAGCCCCGTGCGCACGTCGCCAGTCAAGAGCACCCCCGCAGCGGCGCCTCCGGCTGCCACCTCCCCGCCGGCGGAGCCGACCGCGGCGGATGACACGCTGGTGGAATCAACCGACAGCGAAGACTCGGACAGCGACGGCGGCTCGCAGGAGTCAGTTGTACGTCGCCCCATCTAGGGAGCGGCATGTCGCCAGTCCTTCCGCCTAGCGAGATCGATGTCCGCCGTGTCACAGAGCGAAGGGCTTGCCTTCAACCGTCTCACCTCGGTGTGTGTGTGTGTGTGTGTGGAGGGGCGGGGAGGGGGTGTGTTGTCAGTCGCCCCACCCAGCTACGGTCCTGGTGGTGGCGCGTCCGTCTTCAGCTGTTCCAAGCGGTGAGTTGGTAGTCTGCCGGGGTCTACCATGACGCAGGCGCTCTACCATACAAGCGGGGTCTACCATGACGCAGGCGCTCTACCATACAAGCGGGGTCTACCATGACGCAGGCTCTCCGCAGCGGGCTCTGCCCAGCGTGCTTGCTGGGCGTGCTGGTTTGGCGGCGGATGGAGCGGTGAGACGGCGCAAACGAACATTTAAGCATGCTCCTTACCAGCATGCGAGTCTGGCTGGAGATGACTTCGTCCCGGTTGTCGCGTTCTCGAGGTCTGACGGGCGAGCGAGTAGCGAAAGCACCGACGCGCGATAGGCGGAGTTGTGATGAGGACGTGTCCGCCGGCACATCGCCGTCGCCGGGACACGACCAGAGCACTGTTGATCGGTCTCTGTTGTGGTGAGAGCTAGAGGCGGCGTGATTAGTCGATGGTGATCAGTCGCCGCGCGAGGCCCGACGCCGCGCCGGCCCCGCGCGCCGCTGCCGCATGTTGTCCGTGTCCGCAGCCTCAGTCGATCAGTGTGGACGTGTCCGCACTCCCGCGAGGTGGGCAACATTTTCGAACTGTGAAACTCCCTCGGCGTTGCTTGGGTTTAGCATGCCGTGGGCCGGCTCGCCAGATGAGCGGACGGGCAGGCGGACAGTGGCTGGCAAACCCACTGCGCTCGGTACGTGTCCGTGGATATGGCGCGTTGTCCGTCGGCGAGTCCCACGTGCCTGCAACAAATGGGTTTCAATGTCCTGTGGCGTTTGAAATTGTCCGTTCACAAATGCAATATATCAGTCGAGCTAATTGTTATCTGAGTTTACAATGTGACCCTGGCCAGGCGGGCTTAAGGACGGCTGCAGCTGAAGGCCGCCGGTAAAACTGATGTTGCAGCGTGATACAAGTGATATGGTAACAGACGTGATTATCACCCTGCATATTGCGCTTAAACATAGCGGAATGGTGGCCTACCACCGGTTAGTCATTTGTGTACGGTACATTCGTCTTCTTTATACAGCTGCCTTCACGTGTACATGCTGAAGTTGCCAATGCCGGACGTCTTTTAAAATACCGGGAAGCGGGTGGACCAATTGTTTGTGCAAGATTACGCGTGAGAGTTCGTATACACCGGCCCGCACTTTTGCCAGTACAACGGCCCGTTTTCTCCTTCACTATCAGTCTCACCTTGCTACGACACAGGGTTGAGGAGGTCCATCTGTTTCTGCTGCTGTCTTACGACTTTGCAAGATTTGAAACTGCATGTTTCCGCGTATAATCGAAAACGAGCGGGGCGTGAACTACGCGAAAGTTGCAACGCTGCTGAAATGCTTGTTGAACGGCCCACATTAAAGCGTATTGCGAACATTACGGCACAACTTTTAGTGTGCCACCTACCGCTGGACAGCGCATAACAGCGCGCTTGGCGGTCGCAAAGGTGCCGCGGTCTGGCTCGTAACGAGCTGGTTGGTACCTGTTCGGAGCGCTGGATGCGCATATATTGAAATGTTAACCCGTAGCATAAGGTGGGTGTTAAGGGTACGTGTATAGGTGGCGCTGTCTTTACGTGGTCGGTCACATTTGCTTGTCCTGGCCGCATTAGAGTCGAAGGAAGGCGCAAGCACCTGCTCATCAAGATATCTAGAAGACTCATGCTTTTCCTTGGAAACTTCAGGGATTATTTCCGATCGCAGCGCTATTGCTGGGCTGTGCTGAGAAATCTGAAAGGCTCGACTGCAGCAAGCAGGTGCATGCTCGCCCCACCCGGTCTAAATCGCTAAGCCCCGAGCGATGCATCATCTTATACCGACGTGCAGTAGCCAACAGGTGTGATGTCACGAATAGGACGGATCGCTTTCGTCACGAGTATGTTACTGTCCTGTCCCCACCAGACCAGACAGGAAATTACATGCATTCGCTGAAACATCCTTCCGGCGGTTCCTGGCGTCCTGGAGGCTGTACATCAAGGTGTATAGGCCTCGCATGCAGTGACGTAGCCACTGCGTGCGTAGCGTGCGTGCGTGCGCTGCATCCTAGCGTAGTAGGATTTCACCCAGCAGAGGCCAAATCGGGGCATAGCTGGCCGTTTCAGCCAAGGAGGCCAGACTTCGTCGCTGAAGGGCTCTGTATTTGGATTTGATGGACCATCTCTGGTTCAAGATCCTATTTCGATGCCTTGAGGGCATGTTTTTGGTATTTTAGAAGCTCTTTAGGCAATTCAAACTACTAAAAATACAGGGTCTTTGGTGGGAAGGTGGCGGGGGATGAGGGGGCAGGGGGGGGGGGCATGGTGCTATGAGACGTTTGGCTACGCCGCTGCGTGTGCGTATTAAGGAGAGGACTGCTTCCTTTTCTCGCCAAAGTCGATGTTCTCGCCACTCAGGAGTGACGACGTGCTCGCGCGGCCTGGGGCACAGGGAAGAATGCAGAGCGCTTTATTTCGTTGTTACGTAGCCTGACGGCCTTGGTGATTGGTGAAGTCGGACACATGTTCTGCATTACTTGAGATCACATACCATGTTGATGCAATGCCTGTGCTAAAAGCCCAGTCTCGGCAAGATACTTACTGTATGGCCGCCATGTGACTACCGGTCGACATCGAAAACAAAGCTACCATAACAGTTAAACACGTGACATTTTCATCGTGCAGCAATCCCATTACATGTGGCATCGGAGCATTCATTGCTGTGGCCACCTCGCTGCACTCCTTGGACGCATCAGCATTAAAAGCCAACGCTGTCATGGGAAGGTCTTGACAGCTGTCACGCAAGATAGCAGGCGCGTTCTCCAGTCCTCTGACTAATCTTTCTCCTCGGTCTTTTGCGTGGGCACTCTGGAACAGGCTCTGCAATAAACCCACGGCAGTTGGGTAGGAGGGTTCACATGTGCAGCAAACAGTAGCCGATTTATTCTCACCTCTGTACCGGCACTAACCGCCTCCCAGCATTCCAGCGACGTGTAACAAAGCCGTGACCGACGACAACGCCGCATGTCAGCGCAGCTGGTCTCCCGCGCCGTCCTGCGGCAGGCGTGCCCTCGCGCCGCTAGTCTCCAGCGATGGCCGCCGTGACCCGGACGTCGCGCGCTGCATCGGGTCCCGCAGTGACGCAGCGCGAGAGGCAGCGGTATTCCAGATTTGCGGAGCGCCCGTTTTATGGGTCGTAACGGCCGATCGGCGATGCGCATGGAGTTAAGAAATGTGCTGAATTCTGATGTCGCCTGGCAGGAAACGCGTCTCGGTCGGGCGTTGAACCCGGCCGTGCCGCACAGTCGTGCCGCGGCTCCGGCTTGACTATTGTGCACGCGGACAAAGGGGTCCTGCAGGGACTTCCTCGGCCCACCGGAGCCGAGCCAGGTCCTGGTGGGCACGGGCGCGCAGCCGAACATAAATTAAGCGCTTAATGTATTAGTTTTCAGCCTGCTGCGAGGCATGAAGCCGTAGTGCACACAAATACATAAATACATTCATTGTTTCGTCCATCACAATCGAATGCGACGAAAAGGTGAGCGTCAGCATATTCCGGCACCCAGGCCTAAAAAGGCCTAACACAGACTGAGCCAACCTCGCTTCGGTACCGGGTGTCATTGCAAGCAAAGCCCGCGTGCAGAGACTTCACCACCGTCCGTGATTCGTCGTGAGGAATGATTTCCTGACTGTCGACTCTCCAACAGTTTCCGGGAAACTTGAGCAAACTGTCGAATTAAAAGCACTAATCGGGTCATTTGTGGTGCTCTTACCAGAGTGTCGTGTCCCTCTGTTGTCTGCGGTCATCGTTAGGCCTTCAAAATGTACGTTGACTTGCCCTTAACTCGTTCTGCTGCCGCTGATGAGATCTGTACCAATAGATAACCTGTGTCTCTCGTCAAGGCATGACACGTGCGTCAAACGAGATAAATCGTGTCATTTGTGCGCTGTCAATGGGCTTCATTATCTACACGATAAGACTCAGATACGGTATCTCGTTAATGCTTCATTTTCATCACGCAGCGCAGATGAAAAACTTCATTGCCATCATGCAAGTAATTAGCTTCACCGACATAATTCATGTCACGATCAGTAGTAGGCCGGTTGTTGTACGGCGACGACAGGGGGCGAGGGTGGGGTCGGGGTGGGGAGGGGGTCTCTGTCGAGACACACGGCTGTATTACTGTGCTGTGCTGTGCTGTATTACACGGCTGTTACTGTATTACGCTGTGCCACAAGCAAAATCAGTTGACATGGCTGTTTCAGGCTACGCAGGATCAGGTCTCAGAAGGCTCCCGCCTAATCTGTTACGACAAAAGAGCCGTGTGTTACCGCTGTGGAGGAATGAACGGAACTGGTGTCCGCCACGGCACTTTCTGCAGTCAGAAATACGAAATAGATATTTATGAAAGATCCAGCGCATGACAAAAATGTTTCCATGTGGAAGCTGTGTGATACCTATCGGGTGGCAAATGTCTATCGCAGCAATCTTACAGGTGTTCAGGATTTGTTGGGGGATCAAAGGCTGTTCTTTTGTGCAGGGGTGGGATGTTTGAGTTAGCTGTTATTTTCAGGACTAGGACAAGTGAAGTAAGAAAACTTTTTGGTGGGTTCAAGCCTTTAAAAAAACAGGGAGAGCTGGGAAATGTAACAAGACAAATGACGTAGCCACTGCATATTGATGGTGTCAGTGGTACATGATTTTGTTGTCACCATTACCACCTCACATACATTACTACCTGATTTGTGTTGTCTGATAATGTTTGCGGCTCTCTGTGGTGACGGCATGGTGTGCTTGTCAGTTATGTACCCGCCATGAAAGCAGAAGGTTAAAGCTGGCGAAAGCGGCGCGCGAGTTTTCAAACAATGACTCAGTTTCAGTCGTGCTCCATTTTTAAGCGGCTGCCGCACCAGCATGCGGAGGAAATTCGAAGACCGCCGTAACAGCGGGCATCAGTTGTTAAACATCCAAGCTATGCGGGCATATCTGGGGCATCGCCGAAGAACGCCGCCGTCCTACATCGTTATCTGCGTCATTATCTTTCGGAATTAACTTCACAAAATCCGCCCATTTTGGTTCCTTAAAACCTTCATTGTCTATTTTTCTGATGTCGCTTAGTTTGTGAAGAACTCTTCGCATCAGTTTTGGAGCTTTGTATGTTTATAGCAGGGAAATGCGACGTGCGACAATGCGATCATCAATCGACCTACTATGACTCGAAACTAAGACCGGAGGGAGTTATCGCTTTAGTGTTTTGTACTGAAGACCGAGTACTGCTACTACTTGAACGTGACTTGAGGGGGAGCACGCTAGGCAGGACTCCGTCTGTCACGGTCCGACTATCAACACCTCATGCAGCTGACCCGCGACACAGATATGAGACTGCACACCGATACGCACGTGAGAACCTATCCAGTGTCACTTCATCCGTCCCCAACGTCCAGGCAAAAGTTGAGCCAACCCTTGTGTTAGTGCGGACGTCTGCTGCGCTAGTCAGTGATGAGGGAATAGCATTTCTGGCGCTCGCCAGTCCAGGGACTCTCAGCTCTCTACATAATGGCGGCAGCCGTCGACTTTCAGCGCCTCCTTCGTCGCGGGCGGCTGGCGGCGGGCCGGTTGAGGGCGCCGGGCCCCTGCCGGGCTGCCGTGACCTCTCGTGACCCCGGCGTACTGCGCCGCCGCCCGGGGGCTCGGCCAGCGCGGCCGCGGCAGGGGGCCACCCGGCCGGGGAGCAGCCGGCCGCGGTCGAGGGACGGGCGCGCGGCTGGGTGGTGCCGTCAGTTTGCCAGCGCCGGAAGACAGCGGACAGCCGGCCGGGTCAGCTGACCGGCCGACGCCGTCACCTCGGCAGGCGTTGTCAGTTGCGTCATCACCGAGGTTTAGGCAGGAATGACTCATTCTGAAAAAGCTTGTGGTTGTCGCGATTAGTCGCGAAATTGGCGTGCTGTCGCGGAGTGTCACGTGAGCGTTTGAAGGTCGACAATGACACGACAGTAACTCTCATCCATCTCACTCAGCCGTCTGATTATTGATGACGATGTTATCATATGCCGGACGACGCTCAGCAACGTTTTCCCGTATCAGGCACTTTGCCATCTGTCTGAAGAAACTCGTTTCCGTCATGCTCATGAGAACGCCGCGATTGCCGCAAAACCTCCGCCGACATGAAGCCTGAACACGGAAGACGGCGACGCCGACCACCGTCGGAAGAGAGGTTCACGAGCGGCCCTCCTTCGCGTAACCCGCACCCCGGCAGTGGCAGAGGGGGCCCCTCCACCCGCGCGGGGCCCCGCTCCGACTTCCGTCGGTCAACTGACGGACGGCCGCAACAAAAACCGCTCGGCCATGTTCCCACCGACGCGGCGAGGATGGATCGAATTCGGGCCCGCTTTATAGCCGCCCGCCCAATTAGGAATCCCGCGCCGGCCGCCGGTGACATTCTTAGCATAGACGCGGCGCGGCCTGTCCGGCCCGGTTAAATATGGACGGCGCGGGGCCGGCGGAATGCGCTGTCCGACCGGCTGCCGTCGGAGCGGGGCTGACGGCGCCAGTCAGAGCCGGCTGTCGAGTGAGCCGCGTGAGACAGGCCGGCCCCAACTGGGCAGGACGGGTCACCGGGGCGGGTCAGCGAGCTGGGAGCCTGCGCGGGGCGGGTCAGCGAGCTGGGAGCTTGCACGGGGCCGGCTCAGCGAGCTGAGAGCCTGCGCGGGGCGGGTCAGCGAGCCAGGAACCTGTGCGGGGCGTGTCAGCAGGCTGGGAGCCTGTGCGGGGCGGGTCAGCTGACTGGGAGCCTGTGCGGGGCCGGCTCAGCGAGCTGAGAGCCTGTGCGGGGCGGGTGAGCGAGCTGGGAGCCTGTGCGGGACGGGTCAGCGAGCTAGGAACCTGCGCGAGGCGGGTCAGCGAGCCAGGAACCTGTGCGGGGCGGGTCAGCGAGCTGGGAGCCTGTGCGGGGCCGGGTCAGCGAGCTGGGAGCCTGCGCGGGGCGGGTCAGCGAGCTAGGGACCTGTGCAGGGCGGGTCAGCGAGCTAGGAGCCTGCGCTCGCAGACAGACACGCAGAGTGGAGGCACCATTTCAACGGAGGTTTTGCCATTAATTTTGCCAGAGTCGTGGATAGGCCGTTGCAGAGGGTTGCATTTAGATGTTTTCTCTAAAAATTTAGGACTAGTCGGCACGAAAGTATCAGCGACAGCAATATGTGCGTAAAGCGAACTGTATACCAAATTGTCAATATCATAATCAGTTATTATCGCATCGCAAATAGGTTGTGCTCCTTAATCAAATCCACCTTGGAAATCTTCAGCATGGCCACACCAACTCCCTCCAAAAATCGCTTACAATTTGGCCTCATAGCGCGCCACACCACTTGCCCCGAGATACATGAGCTGAAGTACTGTCGGTAGTGGGAAATCCTCGGTTAATTTAAGGGTGCCTGGTCCAGGTGCAAAAAATAACATTGAGCACGCAGGCAGAGGAGCGTGCGACTCTAAACGACCTCCGCTAAGCTGGTCTCAGCCTAATGTGTCCACCTCACGCGGAACAAAAGCGACGTCTGGGCACCTCGACGCGCCCCGGCGGGCCGGCAACAGCAATAAGGGCTAATTGCCGGCGCCCGGTGGTAAACAAAGCCTTTAATCCTTTTTATTCTTGACCGGAACGGCGCGGCTGGGGGATCCGTTAAACGGAGCCAGTTTGGCAACCAGACGGGCGTGGGTTACCTGGCTTCTGACGGCGTCCGGTGCAGCGGTGATGGCGGATGCGCCGGGGGCAGAGCGGCGCTGGCGGCGACACCCGTCCCGAAGCTGGCCGTCCGCAGGGAGGCGGGCCGCAGGACATGCCTGGCGACGGCCCGGTGACTCGGAGCACGCCCGTGCTTCTTGAAGATATCATGTCGCATGAATTGTCTGTTCGAATGGAGTGCCCGCCACACCGAGTAGGCTGATGCATGACATTATTTTGTCCTTGTGTGTTCGCTTCATAGTACCTACTGGATATTTTTGACTATATATATATATATATATATATATATATATATATATATATATATGTACATATACACACACACATTTGTTATACACACACAC